TACTTGCAGCTGCTGGGGCGCGGTGCACCCCTGTCTCGATGTTGTCTGGGCAGGGCTGCTTGCCCTTGTCTTAGTGCCTGTCTCTGAAATAGGGTAACTGAGCCCGTCCTTTGCCCTCCCACCCTGAGGGAGAGTGGCCTGCAGCAAGGAGGTGACCTGGTGGTAAGCATGCAGTCACTCTTCGAAAGTGACTCACCTGTCACTTGACAGCCCCGGGTAGCTGGTATCACTCCTCCTTGAAGACCCAAGAGACCTTGGCCTGAACACTCTAATAATGATCAGCAGAAGCCCTTGTGGCTGCAGGGCAGGCAGCTGGCACAGATGGACAGGCTGTCTGTGACCTCATCCCTGTCCTCGTAGCTGAGCAAGGACACTTGTCCTCCTGTGGACCTCTGAGTCCTCATCCCACACCCTCCTCCTGTCTTCAGGAAGGCGGGCAGCCAGGAAGCAGGGTGTCCCCGTGTGTGCTGTGAATTAGTGGCCTGGAGTTGGGCCAGGCCCTGGGGCCCTGGGTGGACTTTAGCGTTCAGGGTCAAGTCTAAAAAAATGTTGTCTAGGCTGGGTGTGTCTGTGGTCCCGGCTGCTGCTTGGGAGGCTGGGGCGGGGAGATTGCTTGAGCCCAAGAGTTGGAGGCCAGCCTGCATAGCATTGTGAGGCCCCCCTCTAAAACTAGCGGAAAAGTTATAGACTGAGCTCTCTCTTCTCTTTCCTTCTGTGTATGTGTGTGTCTGGGATGTGGTGTGTGTTCTTGGGGCAGCCCATCAGGCTGAGCCTGTGTATGTCATATCCCCACAGCCCTGTGTGATCTTTTCTAGGGGTCTTCTTCCTCTCACAGGGTACAGTGTGCAGGGCCATATGGGACACTCAGAGCGTTTGGTGCTGCATGTCTGTCTGAGCTGCCCACCTGGAGCCAGGGTCCTTAGTTCCCCCTTTCTGTGGGACCATGTCTGCTAATGTCTGAGGTCACTCTTCAGGCTTCTCTGCAGGATGCATGCCTCTGGTTTGCCCACTGGGGTTCCCTGTGGTCATAGTCTGCCCCCTTGGGATGGGGATGTCGACTCCCTTGAGCTGATCTTGAACACAGCGCTGTGTGAAGTTCCTGCCCCTTTGCCCTTTTGTAGGCTGTGTGTGCTCTGTCTGGCTTTGTTGGTCAGCCCGCATGTGGTCTGAGCAGCTGATAGTCACTGGGGGCGCAAGTCCAGGAGGAAGTTTGGAACAACCTCTCACAGCTTGCTGTGCAATTCCTGGGGTGATGTTATTTGGGGGACCACGTAAGAGTGGGTCTTGTTTTTTTCCTTAGAGACAGGGTTTCTCTGTGTAGCTCTCGCTGTCCTGGAACTCACAATGTTCACCAGGCTGGCCTTGAACTGCATGCCTGCCTCTGCCTCCCGAGTGCTGGGATTAAAGGTGTGTGTGCCCCTGCCATGTTTGGCTTCACTTGAATGTTTTGTGAAGAGCACTGAGAGACTAATGGCCTGTGCCACCACGGCAAGCCTTTTTTTTTTTTCAAATGATGCTGGCCTTGAACTCACAGAGATTCACCTGCCTTTGCTGTGACTAAAGGTGTGGACCATCACACCTGGCCTCCGGGTTTGTTTTTTTTTTTTTGTTTTTTTTTTTTGGTTTTTCAAGACAGGGTTTCTCTGTGTAGCTTTGCACCTTTCCTGGAACTCGCTTTGGAGACCAGGCTGGCCTCGAACTCACAGAGATCCGCCTGGCTCTGCCTCCCGAGTGCTGGGATTAAAGGCGTGCGCCACCACCGCCCGGCTGTTTTTTTGTTTTTTTAAGACGGGGTCTCTCTGTAGCCCTCACTGTCCTGGAACTCGCTCTGTAGATCAGACTGGCCTCGAACTCACAGAGTTCTGGGATTAAAGGCGTGTGCCCCATGTCCAGCTGCACTTGGACGTCTTATGGACCAAGTGAACTACTGTGGTGCTGGTGAAGAGGGTATGGGTGGCACGTGTCTGTGACCTCCAGCAGCACTCTGGAGGCCAGGGCAGGATTAGGCATTTCACACTAGCTAGTCTACATTGATGGTCCTGCTCACAACTCCGGAAGGGACCAAAGTGGCTCAGTAGGTGACCTTCCTAGTGTTTACAAGGCTCAGGGCTCCATCCATAGCCCTGGGAGAGAGAAAGGGACAAAAGGGCTTGGCCACCCAGCAGTGAATTCCTGATGTTGTGCCAGATGTGTGACCAGTGGAGGGTGACCAGTCGCGGCTGTCATCCCTAGATGACATCCCCGTATAAAGAGACCAGCACCTCTCGTGAACCTGGTCTCCTGGGGCTGTACCCAGCATACTCCCTTTCTTCCCGGGTGGCTGCATGCCTGTGCTTTCCTAGAGACCAGTGGAAGGCCAGGTGTAGCCACAGCTGGAAAGAGTCTGTGCCTCTTAGTGTGCACAGCCCATGATTGTCTGTGGGCATAGTAGGGCCCAACGGACATTAGCTCTTGGTCCTCAGTACTTGGGAAGCTTTAAGAACCCTACAAGGGCCAGGTACTGGTGGCACACACCTTTAATCCCAGCACCGAGGAAGAGGCAGGTGGATCTCTGGGAGTTCCAGGACAGCCAGGACTACACAGAGAAACTCTGTCTGAAACAAAACAAAACAGGCAGGCAAACAAAACCCCTGCAGGGCTAGTCCCAGCATGGAGGTGGAGGCAGGAGGACCAGAAAACCAAGGGCTGGGTTGGAGCATGGTGTTTGGGGCTTGCAGAGCATGGGCGAGGCCCTGAGAATCCCCAGCCTCCTGCCTGAGCCTCCTGAGTGCACAGGCCCGCACCAGTGTGCCTGTGTTTCCGTTTTCACTGACAGTGTTGGCCTGGAACTTAGCCATGGCAGGTAATCGTCTGCTGCTGAGGCCTGTCCCCACCAGGCCCTCTGTTGAGGTGCCATAGAAAGAAGACCGACAGTGTGTTCTGGTACTGCCCAATGTTTCCTCAGCTAAGTGGATCCCTCCCCTCCCCGTCCTTTTTCTTTTTAAATTTTATTTTATTATTTTTGTTGTTTTAAAACAGGGTTTCTCTGGGTAACAGCTCTGGTTGTTCAAGCTCTGTCGGCCTGGCTAGTGTTGAAATCACAGAGCTCTACCTCGGGTTAAAGGCGTGAGACACCGTGCCCAAGCCCCTACCCACCCTTTTTTTTTTTTTTTTGAAGATGGTCTTTCTTTTTTTTTTTTTTTTTTTTTTTTTCTTCCGAGACAGGGTTTCTCTGTGTAGCTTTGCGCCTTTCCTGGAACTCACTTGGTAGTCCAGGCTGGCCTCGAACTCACAGAGATCCGCCTGGCTCTGCCTCCCGAGTGCTGGGATTAAAGGCGTGCGCCACCACCGCCCGGCGAAGATGGTCTTTCTATTCCAGGCCAGCCTTGAGCTCCATGCCGCTCAGGAGCCCTTGAATTCCCAGCCCACCTGCGTGCACCATTCAAAGTGCTAGGGTGACAGGTGTGTGCCACCATGTCAGACTTTGTTTTGTGACCTTGCTAGCCAGGCATTTCTTTTTCCTTCCCTTTTTTAAAATTAATTTTCTGTGTTTAGTTGTGTTGCCTGCACGCGTCTGCACCATGTACATGCAGTGCCTGTGGAGACCGGAAGAGGGCATCACATCCACTGGAGCTGGAGTGTGAGCCACCATGTGGGTGCTGGGAATCAAACCTGGGTCCTCTGCCAGAGCTGCAGATGCTCTAACCACTGGACCGCCTCTTGAGCCCCCAGCATTTCTAAGAGCTTCCTGAGTCTAAGCTTGTGGTGGGTGGTGCTCTGCTTGCTTGGTAGCTGTGAGAACTGCCTGGGCCTGCCCCTCCAGCAGTGCTCAGCACCACCATGGTGGGTGCCGCAGGTGCTCAGGAGTGGCTGGGTGATCCTGAGGAGAGGGGAGACTGGGGGTTCACGGCAGAAGTAGAACATGCGCTTTGTTGTTGCAAAGGAAGAGGTGAGGCATTAGGGTAACAGTCTGCCCCCGCTGTGTGGCATCACCGGGGAGACGTGGGCACGTCACTTCACCCCAGCCAGGGCACCAGCCACAGACCACAGAATTGATCCCACAGAGTGGAGCTTAGGCGACCTGTGAGTTCACTGGGGTTACTTAGTGCACGTGGGTGACTCACCCTGGCGTGGTGACTTCTGGGGTGCCCTGCAAGACTTGGCCAGCCACCCGCTTCAGTTCCCTCCCAGGACATGTGATCATGGAAGTTTCACAGACGTCCTGAGCCCTGTAGGTTATACTTCCAGATTTAATGCCCCCCACAAAGCCCCTGTCTAAGTGGGGTCGTCTTCACACAGCCTCAGTGGGAGACTGTCCAGACACGTAGGTTGCAGGGACACTCAGAGCCCCCACCAGTGCTCATGGGCTACGTTGAGTGTTCCCTGTGACCTGTGACTGCACTGCACAGGGTCCACTGGAAGTCTCTAGCTCCTGTGTGCAGAGGGTGATGACCAGAACTGGGACAGAGCTGGGAGGGAGCCTGGGCCCTGGGGAACCCAGCGTGGTGTTTGTGTCTGTTCTCACGAGGCACTGTCACCTGCGGCCATCATCATCCCACAGCTCACTTCCAGGTGTGCAGTGAGTGGAAGGACAGAGAGCTCACAGGGCCACTGGCCAGCCCGGGGTGGGAGCGTTGCGTCGTCATTCTTCTTCCCTCGGTGGCTTCCTGTCAGTCTGCAGTTGGCATCCTTGGGCTTCATCTCATGGTGACAGAGTGAGGTCTGGCCTTGAGTGGTCATGCTGGGGCAAGGCTTGATTTCAGGCACAGCACGGTGCTGGCCAGTGGTTGTGATGTCTGTTTCCCGTTCTGTAGGTGGGGACACTGGCCTGGTGGGACTCTAGGACTTGCCAGCACCCGTCGGGTTTGCAGGGAGACAAAGTTCTGAGTCAGGCTGCAGCTCTGGGGAGTGTTGGGTCAGCACCTCTGAGGTCCCGGTGCCGTGGGTGTGTATTGCAGAACAAGAGTCGGGGTGTCACTGTGTGGTGGTCAGAACCGACTCTGCAGCCTTTTCTCTTTCAGGACAAGCACCACGATGCTGCTCATGAGATTATTGAGACTATCCGGTGAGTGCTGCGTGGGGTATGGGGTGACGGGGGTGGGGTGGGGTCGGGTGGCCTGCTTCCTGATCTTCCCAGCACTTCTGTTGTGCTGTCCTCACTGGGGCCTCCTCAAGTAGCAAGTAGCATGGTGATGGGAGGGGCCCTGGCAGAGGCATCCGGTTTCAGGGCAGCCTGCCACAGCCCTTGCCACACACTGCACTCATCAGAGAGAACCTCAGTTGTTTTCCTACCGTGGCAGGAATGAGCCAGGTCTCATGTCCAGCTCCCTAGCTGCAGCCTCCTATAAGATGGAGCGGGTGTGTGTGTGTGTGTGTGTGTGTGTGTGTGTGAGTGAGTGTGTGTCTGTGTGTGTGTGTGTGTGAGTGTGTGTCTGTGTGTGTGTGTGTGTGTGTGTGTCAGTGCTCCCTGTTTTCCTTCACTAATCCCTGCCTTTAGGTGGATCGGAGAAAGACAGGAGTTCGTGAGGCCCACTAAGATGTGATGGCGCTCAGTGAGGGGCCTCCATCCTGATACCTGCAGGGGCACGATGCCAGGGTGACTGCCTCTTGGGATGGCTCTGGTGCCCTACTTCTGGAGCCTCTGCCCTCTGAGGCTCCCGAAATAGTGGGCGTAGACTAGGGAAGAAAAGCCCGGTAGACCCCAGAACTGCGACCCTGGACCCTGCCACTGGGTGCTTGGAGGTGGAGCAAGCAGTGTGACCTACAGGTCAGCCTGGGCTGCCCAGACCAGGGAGTTGGCTCAGTGGGTGTAGTGCTTACTGTGCGAACCCGGGGACCTGACCTTCATCCCTGGACGCCTTGTGGGGATGGAAGGAGAGGACCAACCAGTCTGCGGAGGTCCTCTGTCCCCCACGCTCTGTGGTACACATGTTGCTCTGTCATGTACTTGTGCATCTGCAAGTGCGTATGTGCACAACTCCACCCCCCCACACAAATAATAACTAAAAAACGTAAAAGTCTGGCAGGGAAAGCTGAGACATTTTTGCGGGTTGAGGTGGGGGCTGCTGGTGGAATAGAACATATCCTCTGGGTGGGTGCTTTCTTGTCTCCCCCACCTAGGCAGGTCAGAGAAGAGGAACAGGGAGACCTAGATGCCGACCCCCCCAGGAGCCACCCTAGCACCTGTCCTTCCTGCATCCCCAGAAACACATCACTGCAGTTCTTAGGACAAGAGCCTGGCTTCTGCCCCCACCAAGCTGGGCGTGGCCAGCCACTGTGTATACCAGTCACAGTGATGGTGAAAAGCAGAGCAGCAGACTGGGAGCCGGCTCCGTGGGTAAAACAAGCACCTGAGTTCAGATCACATCCCTAGAGCCTGCCTAGCCAGACACGGTAGCGTGGGTCTGGGAGCTCAGGGGCAGCCAGCTGCGTGCAGGCGGTGGTGAGCAGGGGTGGTCAAGTGGAAGGCCAGGCCAGCATCTGAGGTCCTGACCTGTGTGTGCACCTGCTCCTGGCCCACGCCATCCCACACATGGGATAATTATGTGGCCACAGACAGAGGCAGCCTCTGGCGACTGACATGCTTCAGGGTTGAGTAGAGGAAGGATTTGGGGAGCACGGAAGCCGTCATTGCTCGGGAACAGGGCTTTTTCCTAGGTGCTCCTTGCCATTGTAGCCTTCTATAACTTTCAGTGTAGGACCCCCCCCCCCCTTTTTTTTTTCTAATTCTTAACAATTTTATTTTACTGCTGGGCATGGTGGCACACAGATCTTTAATCCCAGAACTTGGGAGGCAGAGGCAGGAGCATCTCTGAGTTTGAGGCCAGCCTAGTCTACAGCTTGGTCTACATAGTCAGTTCTAGGACAGTCAGGGCTGTGTAGAGAGACCCTGCCTCTAAATAAATAAATAAATAAATAAATTTTACTATCTGGTATATCCCAGGCTGATCTTGAACATAACAGTGTAGCCTTGGATGGCCTTGAACCCCTGATCTTTCTACCGAACCCAGCTTCTCCTCTAGAGTTTTTTTTTTTTTTTTATTACTGTGTTTGTGTGTAGTTGATGTATCTGTGTGTGTACACATGCACATGGGGGAGGGATCAGAGGACACCTTTGTGGAATTGGTTCTCTATAGGGTTTCTCTGTGTAGTTTTGGTACCTGTCCCAGATCTCGCTCTGTAGACCAGGCTGGCCTCGAACTCTGCCCCCTCGAGTGCTGGGATTAAAGGCATGTGCCACCGCTGCCCGGCTTTGTTTTCTTTTCTTTTTTCTGGGAAAGGTCCCATTATTGGAGCCCAGTCTGGCCTAGAATTTGGAGTCTTTGTGCCTCAGCCCACCCACCATTGCTGGGATGACTAGCGTGTGCCACTAAGCCTGGTTAATATTTTACTTTTTACCATAACACATGAATTTGGTTCTTTTCCACGTCCCAGCACTGTTTGACCTTGGTCTCATAAAATCCATGTGATTTCTCAGTAGCTTGTCATTTCACAGTACACAGTAGTGCCCCCGCTGCCCCCCAGAGTAGGGCTTAGACCAGCAGAAGCTCTGTGTTCCATTTCAGGTGGGTCTGTGAGGAAATCCCGGATCTCAAGCTGGCCATGGAGAACTACGTTCTGATCGACTATGACACCAAAAGGTGAGCAGGAAGGGAGTGAGTGGGCTCTTGGCTTACCGCCTGATTGTCCACACCTTGCCAGCCATCTGTGTAAAGCTTCCAGAAAAGTCTATCTGGCTGGTGGAATGAGGCCATCCCTGGGAATTCCACTCTGAACAACCTTGAATTGGTGCATAGGAAATGAGCAGGGTTGGTGAGGGAGCCCTTGGCTCTGACTAGGTAGGTGTGGGTGAGGCGGTAGGGTGTCTGTCCCTGCCCAGCACCTCTGCTCCTGGACTGAGTGGGTGGAGAAGAGAAGGCATCCCTGGAATGTTGACGAGAGTGGGTTTGTTTACCTCCTGCTCAGAGCCTGCTCCTTCTGGACTGCCTGCAAAGCTTTGCTTGACCCCTGACCTCATTACTAGAAAGGGCTCCTGATGGTGGTCAGCCTTGGTGACCCTGGGCCAGTCCCCTGGGTGGGCCTCTGTCCACCCCATGACTAGCGTCTGGGTGTGAGCCCCTGTGTTGCAGGTCCCCTCTCTGGACCCACAGGGCACAGAAGCCTACCTTTCTGGTGTGTAAGAGACAGGTGGGCAGTCAGGTGACCAGGGCAGGAGCCTCTGTCCTTGTGGAGCTGCGGTGACCCTGTCTCATTGCCTTTGAGTTCATACCCTAGAAGCTCCTCCGGGATTTTACTTTGGCCATGCGAGGAACGCACCCAGGGCCTTGCATGTGGACGCCTGGGCCCTATTGATGGAAGTGTTGGCCTTCTTGACTCACTTAACCTGATCTCAGACTTGTGGAATCACGTGACTCAGCTCCTAAGTAGCTAGGACTTGGGTTGTGTGTGTCACCACTGCACCCTGCCTTGGCTTCTCCACAGCACCTTCAGTTCAGGGAAGCCATGTTTCTGCCTGTGGCTGCTGCTGGCCTGGGTCCCTCCGGAGAAATAGAAAGGACTGTAGCATGCTGGAGTGCTAGGACATGACTGCCTCACACGGGGAGGAAGCTGCTTGTGTGTATTCGTGCCACAGAGCCCCGTCCCCCAAGCATGGGGCTCCCTATGGGCTCTGGACATTGCGAACCTCCCTGGGCATGCAAGGTGTAGAGTAGTCCGGGTCCCCAGAACCGTGCTGCTTCTGCCTGGGTTAATCTCAACGGCGAGAATGAGATTTTTGTTGGGGTGCACCCGAGAGCTGGCCAGCAGCTGCCTCCTAAGGCAGGTTAAACAGAGCATCCCTGGATCCACCTCTTGGGCCCCTGTTAAGGAGTAAAATCACTTGTCGTTTTACAGAAGGGAGACAACGGGGCAATAAGGAACTATAAAAAGACCTTAAAAACCATCATCATTGTGATCAACATGTGATCAGGGAGGGTCAGGTAGGGTAAGGGTATTCTGAAAGACAAACCAAAAAAATAAATAAAAATAAAACCCAAACCAAGGTCATGGGAAAGGTCAGGTTCCAGGAAACAGAGCAACTCAGCTCTTAGAGTAAATAGAAACATTTTTAACAATGAAGCATAATGGCTCCTGCCTTTATGATGGCATCAGGCAGGTTTCTCACCTGGCACTCATAGTGCCCAGGAGTCTTCCCTAATTGAGCCGTCCTGCCCCATGCCTGTCTCGGAAGCTGCAGATTCCTGACCTGGCATACAGAGGCTGGCGGGCTCCACTGCCCACACACTCCTTGGCACTGTCTCTGCTTGTTTCTTTTTAAAAGATTGTATTTGGCCGGGCAGTGGTGGCACATGCCTCTAATTCTAGCACTTGGAGACAGAGGCAGGTGGATCTCTGTGAGTTCAAGGCCAGCCTGGTCTACAGAGAGAGTTCCAGGACAGACAGGGCTACACAGAGAAACCCTGTCTCAAAAAAACCAAAAAAAAAAAAGAAAGGAAAAAGAAAAAATATTTCATTTATTTTTATTTTTGAGTGTGAACCTTGGCCTGCTTGTATGTCTGTGTACCATGTGTGAGCAGTGCCCCACAAGGGCCAGAAGAGGGAGTTAGATCCCCTGGAGCTGGAGGTACAGATGGTTGTGAGCCACTGTGTGAGTGCTGAGAACACAACCCCAGTCCTCTGAGAGAGCAGTCAGTGCTCTAACCACTGAGCAACCTCTTCAGCCTCAATTCTGCTTTCTTTTCTTTTCGAGACGGACTCACAGTGTAGCCCTGGCTGTCTGGCACTTGTTAGGTTAGGGTTGCGTGTGGGCCAGCTTTCTCACGTGGTCCCTACAGTTGAGAGGGCTGGACACGGGGAGGTCTTCTGCTCGGAAGCAGCGCTATGTAGGAACAGGAACCTCTGGCCGCTCGGGTAGGTGTGTCGGTTTCCATGTAAGGGCCTGTGCTCCATCACCTCTTGCCGTGTGTGTGTGTGTGTGTGTGTGTGTGTGTGTGTGTGTGTGTGTGTCTGTGCGCGTGCGCAATGCCCTCATGGGGGACAGGGAAACCTGGGTGGCTGTCCACCTTCCACCTCATTTGAGACAGTCCTTTGTTTTCCCTGCTGCACATGCTCACCCCACCCCCTTCTGTCTTAGACGCATGGGGACCACAGATGTCTGCCCCCTGTCCAGCTTTATGTGGATTCTGAGGACTCGAACTCAGGACCTCATACTTGGCAGCAGGCATTTCAGTTGCTGAGCCATCTCCCCGGCCCTGGCCCAGTCTTTGTAGTAGCTTGTTCCTGAGTTCCTCCTCATCGTGACGTGGTCTGCCCATGGAGCAGGCAGTGGGTGCAGACCGGGTCAGACTGCCCTTGCACTTGTCCTGTGGCCAGACTCTGTCGCAGTGTGCAGCCTCTGGCCGGCCTGCTGTGTAGGTGGTTCTGGATCCCAAGCCTTCCTGGAGGCTTTGCCCAGCCCTCTACATCTGTGAAAGCTGGGTACACTGCAGCCCACTGACGCACCCGCCTTTCTTTCTCAGTTTTGAAAGCATGCAGAGGCTGTGTGACAAGTACAACCGAGCCATCGACAGCATCCACCAGCTGGTAGGTGGCTCCCCACTTGCGCGGCTGTCCACTCCCCAGTGGGTGTGCGTGGTGCTGGCTCCAGGCCCCAGGGCAGACAAGCACCAGGACCTCCTGGTGGCTGTGAAAGAGTGCCGGGGAGGGCAGAGTGCCGGGGAGGGCAGAGTGCCGGGGAGGGCAGAGTGCCGGGGAGGCCGTTGGCCTGGTGAGGCTGGGAAGTCGGGTGGCGGCACGTGAAGCAAGTAGCTTCTTGGGGTCGTTGCATCTCTGCCCACCCCTGTGTGCTGCAGCAGGGGTGCAGGTGTCGGTACCCTTCGGAGCTCTGACATACTTTAGTCTGCTCCTCCAGTTTGAGGGGTGTACTGCTCACAACAGAGCCTCATAGAGCCGTGTTCCGCCTGCCCACCTAAGCCGGCAAGCTGGGTGCAGACAGCAGAGCTCGGCCACTGAGTGCTCAGCACAGGGATCGCTGGCATTGGAGCTTTTAGCAGGCGTTGGCCATTGTGGGGTTCTGTGGTGTCAGGGAACGCTCCTATGAAAGACATGGCTGTGTAGAGACGCTGGGCTGGCACAGGATAGCTTTGTGGCTCTTTGAGCTGAGATGCTCGTGCAACTCTGCAGTGATGGCCCTTGGGCATTGGTCCTACCGTCATCACTGTGCTGTGGGGACACCAGCTGAAGCAGCTCACTAGGGCTCCCGTGGGGCACCGAGAGGCTTGGGGCCTGGCCCCTTCAGCGGGGCTGTCCTGTCCTGTCGCGTCTTATCCCGGTGCTGTGGCCAGCAGTGTCCACGGCCATGAGACTAAGGGGTTGAGCCCTTCTCCCCGAGGGAATCCCTCCTTCCATTTGGAATCTCAGATCAGTAGATGAGTGCCAGGGTGTGCAGGGTATACTCACAGGGCCAGCCTGGCACTGCCGTTGGGAGTCTGCAGCTCTTTAGACTGTTTCTGTCCTTGTGAACTTGAATTAAAGACCCTGTCTCAAGGCTGGAGAGTCTGAGGTGTGTTCTGGGAGGATACATACCTGCCAGGGAGCCTGGAGTGAGGAGGGGCTCCTGGGACCCTGGGACTGGGCTTAGGCCAGGAGGCTTATAAGGTCCAGTCAGAGTTCACCTTCATGTGAGTAACCTAAATGGAATGCCTGAGTTGGTGTGGAGGGATATTGTTCGAATCTAGATGGTCTTTTAATACCCTCCCCCACGCCTTTAATCCCAGCACTCAGGAGGCAGAGGCAGGCGGATCTCTGTGAGTCTGAGGCCAGCCTGGGCTACCGAGCGAGTTCCAGGAAAGGTGCAAAGCTACACAGAGAAACCCTGTCTCAAAAAACCAAAAAAAAAAAAAAAAAACAAAAAACCCGGGCAGGTACCAGGGGAAAGCTGAGAGGTCAGAGAAGCAGCAGCCACCAGTGTTTACGACATCCTCAGCTAAAGAGAGCGGGTTCCTGTCTCCTCGTGCACCTTCCTCTGCCCAGACACCCCTCCCTAGATTACAGGGGTGTGCTTCCCGAGCTTTGCACCTTCCTCTGCCCAGACATCCCTCCCTGGATTACAGGGGTGTGTGCTTCCCGAGCTCTGCAGCTTCCTCTGCCCAGACATCCCTCCCTGGATTACAGGGGTGTGTGCTTCCCGAGCTCTGCAGCTTCCTCTGCCCAGACATCCCTCCCTGGATTACAGGGGTGTGTGCTTCCCAAGCAAAGGCATGAGATCCCAAGTGATAGGATTAAGGGCATGTGCCACCACCGCCTGACCTCTGTGTCTAATCTAGTGGCTGGCTGGCTGATCCTCAGGCAAGTTGATTAGGGTGCACAGTCCATCACCACAGAGAGGTCAGACACAGAAGCCTGGCGTGCCAAAACCGGCTGTGTGCACTTGGAGGAGCACTCACGATGCTGTGTGTTATTTTGTTTGTGGTCTTTGGGGTGCACCCAGTAGGCTCTTTATCACTGAGCTACACTCCAGCCCCCACTTTTTGTGTTTGTTTATTTTGAGACAGGGTTTCTCTGTGTAGCCCAGGCTGTCCCGGATCTGGATCTAGAGACAGGATAGCCTCAAACTCAGAGATCCGCCTGCTTCTGCCTCCCCAGTGCTGGCATTAAAGGTGTGCGCCACCACACCTGGGCACCTTTTGGGTTTTTGGTACAGGATCTTACTGTGGTAGTCCAGGCTGGCCTTGGACCGACAGTGTTCTCCCTGCTTCAGCCTCTCAAGTTTTGGGGGTCAGGCAGGTGCTGCTGGCCTCTGTGGGACGTAATGGGTCATGTCCACTCTTGTCCCCAGTGGAAGGGCACCACGCAGCCCATGAAGTTGAACACTCGGCCATCCAATGGGCTCCTGCGGCACATCCTGCAGCAGGTGTACAACCACTCTGTAACCGACCCCGAGAAGCTCAACAACTACGAACCCTTCTCCCCGGAAGTGTACGGGGAGACCTCCTTCGACCTGGTTGCCCAGATGATCGACGAGATCAAGATGACCGAGGATGACCTGTTTGTAGACCTGGGCAGTGGTGAGTGTCTTGTAGCGTGACCCTCGAGCTGTCCTTGGCTCTCTCTGTGCAGCCACGGCTTCTCAGGGAGGACCTGGTTGAGCCACCAGTGCTCCTGCTCAGGACTTCTCCCCAGAGTCCGGGGCTGCCTGCATGGTTGGCTGTGGTTCTGATGGTGTCTCCTTTTTTTGGGGCAAGACTTAGTTAGGGTTTCAATTGCTGTGATGAAATACCATGACCTAAAGGGAGTTGGAGAGGAAAGGGTTTACCCGGCTCACACTTCCACATCACTGTTCGTCACTGAAGGAGTCAGGACAGGAACTCAAGCAGGGCAGGAACCCAGAGGCAGGAGCTGATGCAGAGGCCGTGGAGGGTGCTGCTGACTGGCTTGTTCCACATGTCTCAGCCTGCTTTCTTACAGAAGCCAGGACCAGCAGCCCAGGGATGGCCCCACCCACAGTGGGGCCATCAATCACTAATTATGAAAATATGCCAGGTGTGATGGTGCTCACCTTTAATCCCAGCCCTCGGGAGGCAGAGGCAGGTGGATCTCTGTGAGTTTGAGGCCAGACTGGTCTACAGAGAAACCCTGTTTTGAAAAACCAAAAAGACAAAAGACCGAGAGAGAGAGAGAGAGAGAGAGAGAGAGAGAGAGAGAGAGAGAGAGAGAGAGAGAGAGAGAGAGAGAGAGAGAAAGAAAATGCCCAATGCCCTAAGCCTGCCTGCAACCTGATCTTATGGGAGCGTTTCCTCAATAGAGGCTCCCTCCTCTCGGATGACTCCAGCTTGTGTCAAGTTGACAGAAAACTGCCCAGCACAGGGCTTATCTCCTGTACCTCATGGGGGGTGAGGTAGAGGCTGGAAAAGGCCCAGCTACTCCCTGCAACTCCTGTCAAAGCTGCTGGTCCAGTCCTGAAGGTCGAGCCTTCTGGGTCCCTGACCTTCCAGAGCCCTCCCCAAGGCACTGTAGCTTTGCCACTCACTCTCCACCAAACTGTGGAGGGGTGCCTCCTGGCCAGCCCCTGTGTCTCCTGAGGCCCTGTGTGTCTCCTGGCTTCTGCCCTGTGCTCCTGAGCTGCTTGTTAGTGGAAAATACTGCCCTGCAGACAGTCAGGTGGCGCGCGTGTGCCACCCAAAACGTGGAACTGTGCCGCCTGTGGAGGAGTTCATCTTCAGAGCCTTGACCCTCAGTGGCATGAAGCAGTGTGGCAGGCCTGGCTTCCCGGCACAGGGCCAGCAGGTGCCGCTCGCTGGGGTTTACAGCCTCTGAACTTCTCGCTTTGTTCTCCGTCCTCCAGCAGATCTGTTAGGTCAGGGCGCTCACTGGCCTGATGGCTATAGCTGTCTGTGCCACAGCAGGACCAGGGTGACTTAGGTGAAGACGTGCCTTTCTGGGAACTGCTGAGCCTTGTGCAGCCATCCCCAGGCAGAAACAGCCGGGCCCTGCCAAAGTGCCGAGGGGGAACAGGCAGGTTACAGCTTCACAGATGGCATTGTGGGTAGTGGAGTGGCACAGACACCTCTGCCGGGAGGTCTGTGCCTTTGATTGACCTCCTCTGATGCCAAGGGACATTGTCATGTGGCTGAGGCCACTGGGTCTCTGTGGAGGCCACACAGACTCTGACCTGTGTCTCTCTGGCTGAAGGTGTGGGGCAGGTTGTCCTTCAGGTTGCTGCTGCCACCAACTGCAAACATCACTACGGAGTGGAGAAAGCGGACATCCCAGCCAAGTACGCGGAGGTGAGCAGACACATGTGCACGCTGCTTCAGGCTTCTGTGTCTGGGCACGGCTCTTCCAGGCCAAGAGTTTCTGTGTTTGTGACACCCAGCACCTCCCAGCAGAGTGCCTGTGTCCCTGGCAGGCTCTGCAGACCTTCATGACGAGCATATCCTGCCGCTGGCAGAGCATGGCCACCTCCTCCTGGAGTTGAGAGGGCGCACGTTTCCTGTGGACGCCCCCGATCTGTTCCTCCCGGGGTGGGGTTCAGGCTCTTGCTGGAGCTGCAAAGGATGATCTTGGGCTCTGTTGGAGGGTTGGGAACCTATGACTCTACCATGGCCCCTGTGGGTGTCCCCCCCCGCCCCGTGTTCCACAGCAGTGTTGCTGTAGATAGCTCCCAGTGTGTTGTCCAGTGTGATCCTGCAGGGCCTGTGGACCCTCCACCGCCCCGGCCTCCCTGAGTGTATAACAGGCTGTGTGCTTTCTTTCCCTCAGACCATGGACCGAGAGTTCAGGAAGTGGATGAAATGGTATGGAAAAAAGCATGCAGAATACACAGTGAGTGCCATCGCTCCATGCCCGCGGCCTCCATCCCAGCCCAGCCCCTTTCCCCTCCTCTCTTGACCCCAGTCAGCCCTGACCAGTGACCATAGGCCCTCTGTGGCTACGGGCACAGGCTCTGGAGCTGACTGCAGAGCCCCATCTGAGCTCTGCTTTTCCTGCTCCCCTGGCCCGGGCCCCATCCCTAGACAACATATGCTGACCGTGGGCCGTGGCAGTAAGTGCTTAGCTCTGCTGAGCCAAGCCTTCCAGCCCGGCAGGTGCGCCCCGCTGAGCTGCACCCTCACTACAGCTTGTGGCACTAAGGGTTGGGCCCTTGGGTTCTTGATGTGGAGATCCCGTTAGGCCGTTCCGCGCGCTGGCCGGGAGGGGCAGTCTGCAGTGACTTTCTGTGGTGCCTGTGAGCTGTGGGCGCCAGACCACACTGGCCATGGCTCTGCCTTGCTCTGCGTCTGTCACCCTTCCTGCAATAAACCCAGCTCACGCCTGCTTTCTTGGTGGATGTCTCTTGAGGGTCTTGGAAATCTGTTAGGAGTGAGGCCCACCTGACACCTGTGTCTGGGACCCAGGAGATGGGTCCTGATTCCCAAGACTTGATTAACTGTGATGATGACTCTTCACACTTTGGTGGGGCCTGTTGGTTCCACACCCACGTAAAGTTCTCGACTCGGGGAACAGCTTTCAGGAAGACCCTGCCCGGTCCCAAGTGGCCTCCTGGTCGTTTATTTCCTCTTCTTTTTTCTCAGCTTGTCATTGTTGGATGACCTGGCCTGTGGTTTAAGGTGTGGTGTGGCTGGTGTTTGTCATGTTGGCTGGTGTCACTGTCAGGCCCAAGAGGCCTCAGGGCTAAGGCCACGGGCAGTTTTTGAGGGCTCAGTGACCATCAGAAGCAACCTGGCAGCAGGGATAGAGAAAGTGACTGTTAGCCGTTCTTGTGTCCACTCTGGCTTCCCACAGCCCCTTGAGTGACCGCCAGCCTTCAGGGGCACCTGCCTGGCCTGTGGCGCAGTGCCTCAGTGCCGCAGCTTTGATTAGCAGGTCATGAGCCCTGTCCTCTGCTGTTGAGAAGCACACAGGAGAAAAGCCAGGGGAGCCTAAGAACAGCTCAGAGGACTGACTCTTCCTGGCCCGGAACTGCCTAGTGCTGCCGCCGCCGCCAGCCAGCTCTGCTGATGTGCTCCCTCCAGTGGCTGAATGGAGTCTGGCAGTCCCTCCTCCCTTCTCCAAGGGCCCTAAGCAAGCCTGGGGCAGACTCACGCTCATCTCTGTTGGTGGTGCCTCCTGCTGTTCCCAGGCTTAGTGACCTCATGTGTTCCTGCCTTCCCATCACCCTGGCAGTGTGGCTGTATAGCTTTATACACAGTTCCTCTTCTCAGAGGGGTTTCTGGGCTTTGACCCCTGACCCTGGAAGAGAGTAGAGTAGTCTGTGACTCCTGAGATGCTGGCTGCAGCTGCCTAAGCCTCCCTATCACAGGCGGTGGTTGTGCCGAGGTGCGCCACGGGCAGGCAGTCCCGCTGAGGCGTGCCCGTGGGGCGTGTGTCTGAGGCTGTGTCCACAGACCTTAGCACCTCCGCTCTTGCACTCCAGACTGAGCTGATGGATTCTCGCACTGGCCCAGTCTGTGTCTGACCATGGCCTCTTGGGTCTCACCCATGGTGACCTTTTCTGGCCCTCCTCAGGCTTCCGTGGGGCCTGTTGTGTCAGTCTTTCCCACTGGCTTCGTGAGCCAGCTGCCGTGTGCTCCCCCCCCCCCCTTGCCTTTTCCATGTTGGTAGGTGTAGCTGTGACACTGTTGCTTGGGGGATGTGAACAAATGTGTCCCAGATAGGGAACCAACAAAGCCCAGCCTGGAGAACTCTGGAGTTTTACAGGGGTCACTCCCGGGACTGTGGGCGAGGCGTCACTTCCAGGAGCAGAAATGACCGAGAGAACTGCATCCCCAAGACCCACCCCAGCATGTGTGACGGCTCACAAAGCTGGGAACGTGGAGGGCACTGCACAGCCCACAGGCAGCAGGACAGGCTGGAGAGTGTCCTTTCCCGGTGGCTCCGTAGACCTGAGCCTCCCTCCCCAGCAGCTCGGCTGGTGTGACAGCGTCTCTCTCTCGGCAGTCCTTTCTGCTCCTGTTCCTGGGGCGGGAGGGCTCAGCATACCGCTCGGTTTCAGGGACTTCCTGTCTGAGGGGCCGCCGCAGGGCGGAGTGTATGGAGATTTCCTGCACAGCAGTAGACACCTTGCTTTAGGCCTGGGCTCCCATCCCGGGCCAGATGGCCAGGACTTGAGAGTCCCTGGCCACAGACACAGCACGGCTGCGTGGCTCCCCAGACTCGATGGCCTGGTTGGCCAGGTCAGCACTGGGGCCTGTGGTGGGAGGGCCGCCGCCGGCTCCACCCGTGACACAGCTGCAGGGGGAGGTCTGTCCTGGGCAGGGGGAGGTCAGGGCTAGCAGAGCTCCTCCTCGGAGTCTCAGAACACGCTCGCTGCAGGGTGTTTTCATCCACAGACGGAAGGAAACCCAGCAGCCCCGGAGCTTAAGGGTCCATGGCTTCTCTCCTAGCTCAGACTCCACACACAGCAGGGTGATGGAGGCATGGGCTCTGCTGCAGCTTAGCTTAGGGGAGAGCGGGAGCCCAGAGCCCAGGTGCTGCTAGGCCCAGGTGCTGCCCTGCATTTGGAGGACAGCTGAAGTCCCCATCCCCAGGCTAGGCTGGTGTACAGCAGAGCAGAGTCAGAGGTCGCTCAGGGGTAGATTGGATGAGAGGTGGGCCCTGGCCTGGGCTGGGCTTGGGCTCTTCAGACCCACAGGGCACTGGCCACCCCAGTCCAGGTCTGTCCACTGGAGGATGAAGGCTGTGTAGCTGCTCTTGGCAGGGGACAGCCTTGTCCTAGCGGGTTGGGGAGGTGGCCCTGTCATCCTGTCACTCCACACGTCATGGGGACTCCAGTGTGGGCCTCTACCGTTACCCATGGTCGGCATCCCTGTCTCCCCCCCTTCTCTGGTCCTCGTAATCCACTTCTGGTCAGTAGACTTGCCTGTGCTGGTGTCCTGCACCACGCGGCCTGTTGTGCATCGGATCTTTGCTCCTGTTCATTGCCAAGCAGCTTTCCAGCACATGGATGGACTATGCTATATGTCTGTCCATCTGTCCATGGATGTCTCTGCCTTTTGGGCTTTGTAAACAACTAAACAACCTCCCACCCCCATGATCTCCATGTGGAGCGGACTATTCTTTTCCTGGGGCTCATGCCTGTTGCCACAGCTGGTGGTGGGGGGGGGGGGGTCTGCAGAACTCAAAACCCAAATTGCTTGGGTCTCTGAGTGTCGTAGCTCCAGGTACTCAGGGTAAAAGCTGTTTCCACTGGGCGGTGATGGCACACACCTTTAATCCCAGGACTCCCTAGGCAGGAGGATCTCTGTGAGTTCAAGGCCAGCCTGGTCTACAGAGCGAGTTCCAGGACGGCCAGGGCTGCACAGTGAAACCCTGTCTCGGAAAAACGAGGAGAGACAAAAGAAAAAAAACCCTGTTTCCCTTTAACACACTCTGGCCTCAGTGACATCATTGTTGACAGAGTGAGGGCCGAGGGGCAGGCTGTAGCTGGGGCAGGCCACAGGTTGGGGTTGGATGTGCAGCAGACATGGAGTAATGCAAGCTGCATAGAGGCGACCTCTTCTTCAGGCACAGCCTTCATGGATGATGACAAGTGACAGGATGGTTGGTCCAGTGACTTCCTGGCCACAGTGATGCATTCATGTCTGTAGAGTCTGCAGATGGCCTGTGTGATGCTGCTTTTCTGGGGACACAGTCTAGCGTGCAGAGGGTTGGCTGGTCAAACAGATGGCACTGTGACTCCTCACCTGGACTGACACCATCCTCTTGTCTGTCCCGAGTGGGTTCTGCTTCCTGCTGGGGTTCAGGCCCTGCCCTCTGCAGAGCTGTCCACTGGCTGTCCACGGTCACCTCCCCACCCTGAGATCCAGCTCATTCCATGTCTCTCACAGCAGCTGCGGGGACTGGGTTTGAACCAAGCAAGCCTGTGAGTAAACGTGTTCCTTTCTTTCTTAGCTGGAACGAGGTGACTTCCTCTCAGAGGAGTGGAGGGAACGGATCGCCAACACGAGGTACGGCCGGCTGTGGGCTGTGCTGCTGGCTGTGCTGTGGCCTCTGATTCTGGCTCCCCAGATGTGGGTGGCTGTCGTGGAGGGTACTGCGGGGCTGCTGCTTCAAGAGTGTCAGCCCCTCCTCGGGGGGCTGGCCTGGCTGTGGTCTCACATGGGGTGCGGTAGCCCCTGTGCTGGTCCCCTTGAGTGTCCTGTGCTGTCCTCATCATGGGGTCGGGTCTATCAGGGGATCGAGGTGTTTACTCTTGGGGGTGGTGCCTGCCTGCCGCAATGCACCTGCCTGCCGCAATGCACCTGCCTGCTTGTCAGTGTATCCCTTTGCTCATGCCCTATGACTACCTTGTCTTCCGTGAGCAGTCCTCCCTAGACTCTGTGGCCAGGGAGTGCTTCCAGGAAGCCCGCTTTATTTCTTAAGTGCCAATATTCAAAATAGGCGCCTGGTGCTGGACTTAGCCCAGATCTTGCGGCCTCCTCGGAGGGGAATTTTGTGCCTGTCTCCTGCCCCTGCTCTCCTGCTTACTCTGCTCACCTCAGATGGGTGGGCGGGGGTGGGGGGCAGCACCTGGCAGGGACCGGCAGCAGTCTGTGTCCAGGCTGGGACTTGATGTGCACAGCCTCAGTTTTACTGAACTGAAACATTGTTTTGCAGTGTTATATTTGTGAATAACTTTGCCTTTGGTCCTGAGGTGGATCACCAGCTGAAGGAGCGATTCGCAAACATGAAGGAAGGTAACGCAGCCCTCCTGCCCACAGGCCTGGTGCCCCACCCTCTCCAGGGGAACATGCAGTCACATCATCATGGCGGGTAGTGCATGGAAGCCCTCCTTCCCCAGCTCCTGGGCTGCACAGCAGAAGTGCGGGCCCTGGTGCCCCCCGCGTGCCCTAGAGAGCCAGCAGAGGGGTTGACGGGCTGACCCAGCTCAGGAGCAGGCCCCTGCTCCAAGCACGCATCCCAGGGCTCTGCTCGGGAGTTTAGGCTGTACCGGCACGTGTGCTTGTGCCTTTCATGATGGAGAGCTTCAGAATGAAGGACTAGTAGAGCACACACCGCCCCTTGCGAAGAACTTTCCGGCTGCTTAGCCTGGTCTCCCCGCTCTGCAGCTGTTTGCTGTCACAGAGGTGATGAGTGTCTGCTGTGGGGCAGATCCTCAGCTCCCCGTGCTTTTAGAGTGAGTTACTTAGGGTGCGGGGGTGAACCCAGGGCCTTGTATGCTCAACAGACACTCCCCACTGGGCTTCACCCCACCTCCCTTTCATCCCTGTGCCCCCTCATTTGTGTTTTAGAGAAGGTCCCACTAGACAGGCTCTAGCCTAGACCCAGGCAGGTCTGAAACTCAGTTATATAGCCAAGCGCGGCCTTGAACTTTATTGCAGTGTCCACCACCACATTAGCTTCTTAGTGCTGCCTGTTTGGGGTCAGGCTGTGACTTGGTGAGTCCTCCAGTCCTCGGTTAGCGTGTCCTCCGTCTACTGCCTGTTTCCTCGGGGCTGGTACCCCCAGTGGTCAGATGGGCCAGGCTCTGGTGACAGCCAGCCCCAGCCTTGGGTGGCAGTGCTCTGCCCTCCCTGCCCCGTCCACCTGCTGACGGCTGCTGCAGTGTGGTCCATGTGCCCTCTGTGCAGTTGTGACAGACACCGTGGCCCAGGCAGCCTGTGTTAGGGAGGGTTTGTTCGCCTCCCACAGCTGATCCCATTCCGTCCCCAAAGGGCGGCAGGGCAGGCCTGCAGCAGCCTCTACTGCTGACTGGCTCAGGGTCAGCGCTCAGCTACGTTTCGTGCGCTGCTCATGACCACTTGCTGGGCCCTCCCACACCAGTCAGTCAGGACAGTGCCCATGACTTGCCTGCAGGCCTGTCTGCTGGAGGCGGTTTTTCTCAGTTGAGGTTCCCTTTTCCTAGAGGGCCCGAGTTGGTGTCAAGTTGACAAAAAATTATCTAGCAAAAGCACCCACTTGTGGGTGTTCATGGGCATCAAATTGTGCCTGTGGCCCTCTCCTGACCATGCTTTTCCCTTGGGCCTCTGCATGGTCGGTGGTGGCAGGTCATTTCCATCACTGCCCAGGGAAGCTCATAGGGTGCTAGCCCGACTGGCCTGTGGCCTTTCAGCTTTCCTGCACACTGGAGACATGGACCTGACCCTGCTGTGGCCGGGCCGGGCCTTTGCTGATGGACAGGACTCAGCAGGACTTGGAGTGGGGCTAGAGGCTGGTGCACAGATGTGTGTGTGTGCGTGCGTGCGTGCGTGCGTGCGTGCATGTGTGTGTGTGTGTGCTGAAAAGGGAGCCTCATTGTGTAGCTCAGGCTGTCCCAGAACAATGGGTACCTCAACTCCCCAAGTGCTAGGGTGACAGAATGCACCACTGTGCCAGGGGGAGTCTTAATCTTGATTTAGCTGTCACTGGCTGTGGGGGTCAGGCCTGGTCTAGCACCCATGAGGCTTAGAGCTCCTGGGCTGGCCTGGACTACAGAAGGAGTTCAAAGCCAGCCTGGGCTTGGTGACGGTCTGTCTCATTCTCCCTTCCCACCCCAACACTCTTCTTCCGTATGGAAAAGGATCTGCTCCATTCACAAGAGTCGGCCTGGGTTTTGAGGCAGGGTCTCTATGTTGCTCTGGCTGCTGTGGAACTCTTTATGTAGACCAGGCTAGACTACTTTCAGAGGTCTGCACATCCCTGCCTTGCCTGGGATTAAAGGTGGTGCCTCCAAACTAGACTACCATGTTTTAAGGTTGTTCCTTGTGGCTGTCCCGGATTTGAATCTTTGTGTGGTTTGGCAAGGCTCTTCTTGCCTTTGGGACTTGGTTCTGATCCCTGTCCCAGTCAGCAGCCAGTCAGATTCTCCGCTCTGTTCTGTGGTTCTTTCTCTGTTGTCTCTTTGAAACCGTGGTCTCGCTGCGTAGCCCAGTTTGTCTTCAGACTCATGACAGTCCTCTCTGGGCTGCCGGAATACCGGGGTGACCACTGAGCCTCCGTGCCTGTGGGGCCCCTCCCAGTGCCTTTCTGAGGGAACGCTGCAGGCAGGCCCGTCTGCCCGGCCCCTCCTTCCTGTGCCTGTGGTGGTTCTGGGCCCCACTACAGCTCTTCTACCAGGCACCCAGTTGTCACCACAGTGCAGGGTCAGGCGAGCACCAGAGGTCTTGTGAGAATGCCTGGCATCTTGTGGGCACAGGCACTGTGCACGTGTCCATGCCCAACTCATGCCTGTGTGTGCCTCTGTGGGTTTTTCCACATATGGCAGTGATGGGCTTCTGTGTTGCAGGTGGCAGAATCGTCTCCTCAAAGCCCTTTGCCCCTCTGAACTTCAGGATCAACAGCAGGAACTTGAGTGGTAAGCTCCGCGCTCAGCCCAGCAGTGAGGGTCCTCAGCTAGTTGCTTCCCAGCCTCTGTCCACCGCGTGTCACACACGTCCCCTTGTGGACATGGTGCTGCAGAGGTGGCCAGCCCTTGGGGGCCTCCCTGGCCTGGGTGCCTGGCTGTCTGCACCCTCGCCCTGATGTGGCTGCTCTCGAAGCCTGACCCCATTCACGTTCCTGACAGGCCCCAGATTATTCCTCCCCTGTGTCAGCTAGGCAGCCTTTGGGGGTGCTGTGGAGGCTGGTGTGGGGTGCAGGCCTCCTGCGCAGTCCTGACGCTGCTCCTCCACAGACATCGGCACCATCATGCGTGTGGTGGAGCTGTCGCCCCTGAAGGGCTCCGTGTCGTGGACTGGGAAGCCCGTCTCCTACTACCTGCACACTATCGACCGCACCATAGTGAGTGCCCCCAGCAGCGCAGCGTGGCACCCTCCAGAGGGGGAGAGTCCCAGCCATGCCCCCGGCAGTTCTGGGTCTCAGCCCTTGGTCTCCCTGATGAATGAGTGCCCAGAGCAGTTTTGGCATCGTATCCGGAGGCCTCTGGTCTCTGTCATCCCTTCCCTCCTTGTCCCCCAGCCTTCCCCAGGTGTGTGCTGGCCTCTTCCTCATGGTCCCCTCATGGCCTCCCCTCCTTGCCAGAGCCTTCCACGTGCAGTCCTAGCTCTGTTCTCATCTGTCCCTAAGGCCGTGTGTCGGCAGTCCTGCTTTTTGTTCTCTGGGCTACCTGGGTCAGCCGAGAGCCTTCCTGCTGTGGGCAGAGGGCCCTCAAGACTCCTGAGCTGAGGCATGCATTTCCTCTGTATGGCCAGTGCAGCAGCCGGTGTCCCCCCGGGCGGTCCTGTCCTTGGTCCTTAGCAGTCATTTGAGATGGAGGATAACTGCCTTGGGCTGTGTATTTGCTCCAGCTGTGCTGCCTTTGGTGTCCGCTGGTGTGCCTGGCAGCTCTGTGGGACACATCATCTGTGTGCGGCTGCCCGTGTCCGTGCTCAGGGCTCACTTCTAACAAAACTTTTTCCTCTTCTCTTTAGCTTGAAAACTATTTTTCTAGTCTGAAAAATCCAAAACTCAGGGTAAGTTTGCATCTCTCCCAACTGTGACATTCATGAGGGTCATGGTGACTGGCTGAATGTGTGCTGGTGGTATGTGTGACCAAGGTACCCAGGCCCAACCAAGGGTTCTTTCTGCCTCCCTCAGCTCTATGGTAGGTTTAGTGTCCATCTTGTGTGGATGATGGTCCTGCAGAGGGCCAGTTGCCAACAGGTCCGTTGTCACACCGTGCTGTGCGCCCTCATTCCAGCGCTGTGCACAGACAGTTGAGGGTGCCTGTCTCTAGCACCCTGGAAGGCTAGGCAGTCTGCTCCATGGCAGGCACATCTGCTGGGCGTTAGCTTGTCTGTCCCAGAGACATATAGAGCTGGGCTACCAGGCGACTTTCCCTGGGGAGGCGTGAGTAAACGTCTGTTCACTCCGCATGGTCACTAATGGCAGAGTACCAAGTTCTCCCTGCTGGTGCTTGGTGAAGTGGTGGGCTGACGGGGTTACAGGTGTGTAGACAGTTTACAGTTAGCTACACACCACCAAGGAGGGCATCCTGCCCAGCATGCCAGATTGTGAACAGTGTGTAGTCTCAGCAGGCGGCTGAGTTCCCCCACCCCTCACTCCATGCAAGTGTGCACCTCGGGAAGGTCAGCCCAGCTACTGGGTTCAAGTCAGCAGTGGTTATGCTGTGCCAAGAGGACATAGGCCCTAACATGGGGCTTGACTTTGCCTAGCCCTGTAGGGCGCTAGCCATGCTGCCGAGCGGGGCCGTCGGGTCTCCATGCTGGCTGGCATGTCCCACGTGCTCTCGTTGCCACGTGGTTCTGCAGCTGCCAGAGCAGGGGCAGCCTTGGGCTGCAGCACCGTGGCAGGCTCGTGCCTTCCCTGTTAGGGGCTGTGGCCCAGGTCAGTGTCTGTGTGTGGACGTTTGAGCCGTTGGTTCTGGGTGGAGCCGGAGCCTGCGGCACACCCTGGACACGTGCCCCCGCGTCCCTGCAGGAGGAGCAGGAGGCCGCGCGTCGACGGCAGCAGCGGGAGAGCAAGAGCAGCGCCACCACCCCCACCAAGGTCCCGGAGAGCAAGGCTGCTGCCACCGAGGCCCCTGCGGTGAGAGGCCGTCCCTGCACACGCCTGGTAGACGGGGCCCAGAGGTGCGTCCCTGCGGTCACTCCTGCTGTGGCCCTCACTGCCTGCCTGTGTCCCCCAGGACTCTGGTGCTGAGGAAGAAAAGTCAGGTGTGGCCACTGTCAAAAAGCCATCTCCCTCCAAAGCCCGGAAGAAGAAGCTGAGCAAGAAAGGCAGGAAGATGGCTGGCCGGAAGCGCGGGCGGCCCAAGAAAATGAGTGCTGCGAATGCTGAGCGCAAGTCCAAGAAGAGCCAAAGCACACTGGACCTCCTGCGCTCCCCGCCCGCAGCCCCGCCCCCTGCCTCACCCCAGGGTGAGCCTCTTTCTCTCCTGCCCTCCGGAGTCCCCGTCCGAGTGGGTCTGGGCTCCTGCCCTCTGCCCTCCGGAGTCCCCGTCCGAGTGGGTCTGGGCTCCTGCCCTCCGGAGCCCCCGTCCGAGTTGTTCTGGGTTCCTGCACACTGGAGTCTGCATCTGGACTCTGTGCCATGGACTAGGCTTGTGACTCCACACCAGGTGTTGGGTGGGAATCGGGATCCCATGGCTATGTCAGGCCTCAGATTTGCCAAGCTGAGGCCTTTGTTGCCTGTAGTAGTATATATAGGACCATGGTTGGTGACTGATGGGAACCCTCTCTCCTGCAGATGCGTACAGGGCACCTCATAGCCCATTCTACCAGCTACCTCCGAGCACGCAGCTCCACTCCCCGAATCCGCTGCTGGTGGCACCCACCCCGCCTGCATTACAGAAACTTTTAGGTGGGTTATGGCTCTGATCTTGAAGCAGTTCTTGGGAGCTGTGTATGTGGTGGGGCCCCAGTCAAGCCTGCTGGATGGTGTGGGAGAGACTTATGTTGCCCTGTGAATGGCTGAGAGTGACTCAGCTCACCTCAGGGACCCTGTGCCATATCTGGGGACATGTGTGGCCGTCAGTGCTGGAGGAACCTGGTGGAGAATAACTCACTCCACAGGAAATGCTGGCAAGTCCCTTACTTGAGGGAGGGATCTGCTTTTGGGGTGTAGGGCATAAGAAAGAGGGGGAGTCACAGGAAGGGGTGGCCCTCCAGCAGGCCAAGCCCTAGGTAGCTCCACGTGTCTGCCGGCCACCACTCCTGCTCGCTCAGGGAAGGGTGTTGGTATCAGCCCTGGTCACACGCTGTGCTGTGCCCCTCCAGAGTCCTTCAAAATCCAGTACCTGCAGTTCCTGGCGTACACGAAGACCCCACAGTACAAGGCCAACCTGCAGCAGCTGCTGGACCAGGAGAAGGTGGGTGAGCTCTGCCTCAGGGTCAGTAGTTGTTCCGCTTCCCGGGGGCTCTGAGGTCACCTGCTTCTGTCCTCGCTCGCAGGAGAAGAACACGCAGCTGCTGGGCACTGCCCAGCAGCTCTTCGGGCATTGCCAGGCCCAGAAGGAGGAGATCCACAGACTGTTCCAGCAGAAGCTGGATGAGGTGACTTCCCTTGTCCTTATTATGGAAGTACTGACATGGGATGGCTAGCCACCATGTGACCCCGTCTGTACCCTGGTCAGGGCCACAGGGTGGTTATCGTCCCCTTGTTCCCTGTGCACTGGGATTCCACTCACCCTGCTTTGTCCTCTCCATCCCCAGTTGGGCGTGAAGGCGCTGACCTACAATGACCTCATTCAGGCCCAGAAGGAGATCTCCGCCCACAACCAGCAGCTGCGGGAGCAGTCGGAGCAGCTGGAGAAGGACAACAGCGAGCTGCGGAGCCAGAGCCTGCGGCTGGTGTGTGCGTGTGTGCGCGTGTGTGCGCGCGTGTGTGTGTGCGTGCGTGCGTGTGTGTGCGCAGGCAGGGTGGAGGGCGGGATCTCCCACTCTGGAGCCAGAGGTGTGTTGACTTAGTTCCCAGGCGTTGGACTTGGGTCTGTTCCTCCACACTCTTGCTGGGCTCAGCAAGGATCAGCCTGTACCTGATCACACCAGGGCCTCTGTACTGTGTCCCACAAGCCTTTCTCACCTTGCTGTGTGTGACACACCGTGTGCCACAACTGTAGCCTGGCTCTAGCGCACTGCCCAAAGAGACTGGCTCTCCTGCCTTCAGCTGCTGAGACTCTGGTCTGTGCCCACAGCTCAGGGCCCGGTGCGAGGAGCTGAGGCTGGACTGGTCCACATTGTCTCTGGAGAACCTGCGGAAAGAGAAGCAGGCCCTGCGGAGCCAGATCTCGGAGAAGCAGAGACACTGCCTGGAGCTGCAGGTGGGCAGTCCATCTGTGTTGAGGGCAGCAGGGGTGGGTGGGGCCTCACAGAGCCGCCTCGGCTCCCCTTGACACGCCCCTGCTGCCGGGTGGAGCCCAGGCTGCTCTGATGGCGCCTCCCGTCGTGTAGATCAGCATCGTGGAGCTGGAGAAGAGCCAGCGGCAGCAGGAGCTCCTGCAGTTGAAGTCCTGTGTGCCACCCGACGATGCTCTGTCCCTGCATCTGCGTGGCAAGGGTGCCCTGGGCCGCGAGCTGGAGGCCGATGCTGGGCGCTTGCGTCTTGAGCTGGACTGTGCCAAGATCTCCCTGCCGCACCTCAGCAGCATGAGCCCCGAGCTCTCCATGAATGGCCATGCCGCCAGCTACGAGCTCTGCAGTACAGCTAGTCGGCCCTCGTCCAAACAGAACACCCCCCAGTACCTGGCCTCCCCCTTGGACCAGGAGGTCGTACCCTGCACCCCCAGCCACAGTGGCCGGCCTCGGCTAGAAAAGTTGTCTGGCCTGGCTTTGCCAGACTATACCCGGTTGTCACCTGCAAAGATTGTGTTGAGGCGGCACCTGAGCCAGGACCACACCGGGTCTAGCAGAGCGGCTGCCAGTGAGCCGCACCCCCGGTGAGCACGGGCATGTAGGGCTCTGCTTCTGTCTTCTGCCCCGGGACTGTCGGGCACGGGCTGCTTGCTGTGAACCCAGTTAGCGTGACTGGCCTCTCCTTGCAGGGCGGAGCACACCAAGGAAAGCACCCTTCCCTACCAGAGCCCCGGCTTGTCCAGCAGCATGAAGCTCAGCCCCCAGGACCCACTGCCTGCCTCCCCGGCGACCTCGCCGCTCACCTCAGAGAAGGGCAGTGAGAAGGTGAGAGCCGAGTGAAGGAAGCCCCCTGAGTGTGTGAGGGCTGGCTGGGCAGCTGCAGCACTCCACAGAGCCTTCGCATCTCTAGCTTGTATGGGCCTTAGTTTGGGGACCTGGGGAGGAGACTGGGGACTGGCATCCACAGGCCTTAGGAAGGGGTTCGGAAGCGGGTGTGTCAGCCTTCCATGGGTCCTTGGAGGACTCAGATGCTTACATGCTGGAGTGGGGTCAAGGGGGTTGGGGCCTCCACTGTATGTACAGAGATGGAGAGGAGTTGGGGAGGCCAGGCAACCCACGGTGACAGGTCTCAGAAACAAGGAGTGTCCCGAGGATGGCTTCTGCAGCTGAGCTCCCATCCAGGCGGGGATTAACGCATGGCCGTCTGTTGGCAGGGTGGGAAGGAGCGTGCCTACAGCAGCCATGGGGAGACCATCACCAGCCTGCCTGTCAGCATTCCACTCAGCACGGTGCAGCCCAACAAGCTGCCCGTCAGCATCCCACTGGCTAGCGTGGTGCTGCCCAGCCGCGCCGAGAGGGCGGTGAGTGTGCTGGGCCAGGTGGCGGTGGCGGTGGTGGTGGTGGCGGTGGCTGTGCTGCCTGTGGTGGGCCTCCAGCCTCGGTCTTGATGTCTTCTGTCGGATGCTGTAGAGCTGGAGCTGCCATGGAGGTGGGCTCGGGTGTGCTTTGTAAGAGCAGAGCAGAGTCGAAATGGGAACGCCCACTCCGGGAGGGTTTCATCCGCTCAAGCCATAGTGGCAGGCCTGGCCCTGGGCTTTGCCCTGATGTCCGGGTCCTGGAAGAGCTGCTGTTCACAGAGCGCAGGCTGGGTAGACAGTGAAGCCTTGCCTTCCTTTTGCTTTTATTTAGGCCAGGGTCTTGTCTGACACAGGCTGGCCTTGATTGATATCTGACCACCTTGCCCTGTGCCCGTCCTACCCTTTGTTCCCTGAATATGACCTGGCCTTTCTGCTTGGACTCTGAGGCCTAGCCCAGCTCTGCCCTCCGGGTCCTCCCTGCTCTGCCCGCAGCCCTCCTGCCCAGCTCTGTCTCTTGGGGCCTGCTGCTCCCACCCTTGCCCTAACTAGGCAGGTTTTCTCTTACAGAGGAGCACTCCCAGCCCTGGGCCACAGCCCCGAGACTCCTCATCCACACTTGAAAAGCAGATTGGTGCTTCTGCCCACGGTGCAGGAGGCAGCGCAGGAGGGAGCAGGAGCCTCGCCCTGGCGCCCACAGGTGACCCCCCCAATCCCACCCCAGGGGGGGCTCTCCCTGCTAGGTGCCGTGTTCCCTGAGAAGATCCCACTGTGGGACAGAAATCGGGGCTGAGGCCACCCAACAGGTAGCTCTGAGGTCATGAGTTCAGGATTCGGTGGACCAGAAGGCGGAGGACTAGTGTTTGGGCTGACTCGGTGTGGCCTAGGGTGGTCCAGGCACTTACTTCTTCCTGGGGGATGTTTAAGGTCTGGAGCAGTTGTAGAAAGCTGCCTGTGCTGGGGTCGGCTGGCCCCTGAGGTTTAGCTCACAGCAGCGACAGACCCAGTGTGCCCAAGTGTTCGCAGTGACTGACGTCAGGAGGCAGTCTTCCTCTGGGGGCCTGCCCACACCTGCCCATGCTATGGCCCTGGAGCCACCAGCTCTTCAGCTTGTCCCTCCCAGGGTGAGGTGTCCTCACAGCCCCCACCACTGGGCTTGGCCTCCTTGAGAAACTGCTGTCTTCCTCGACAGGCTTCTACACTGGTTCGGTGGCCATCAGCGGGGCCCTGGCCAGCAGCCCAGCGCCTCTGGCCTCTGGAATGGAATCTGCTGTTTTCGACGAGTCCTCTGGACCCAGCAGCCTCTTTGCCACCGTGGGGTCTCGCAGCACACCCCCACAGCACCCACCTCTGCTACCGCAGCCCCGCAACTCCGGCCCCGCCTCTCCTGCCCACCAACTCTCAGCCAGTCCCCGCCTGAGTGTGACTACCCAGGGCCCGCTGCCCGACACCAACAAGGGGGATCTCCCTTCTGACCCTGCCTTCTCAGACCCGGAGAGCGAGGCTAAGAGGCGGATTGTGTTCAGCATGGCAGCCGCTTCCAGCTCTAAGCAGTCACCTTCCACCAGGCACAGCCCCTTGACCTCTGGCACCCGTGGGGACTGTGTTCAGAGCCATGGGCAGGACAGCCGGAAGCGCAGCAGAAGGAAGCGTGCGTCAGCTGGAACCCCCAGCCTCAGCACGGGTGTGTCCCCCAAGCGCCGGGCTCTGCCAACTGTCGCTGGCCTCTTCACACAGTCCTCGGGGTCTCCCCTCAACCTCAACTCCATGGTAAGTACAGGACCTGTCCCAGCAGGGTGGGGAGCCCCGCTTGTGTGGGCCCAGGGCCCGGGAGCAGGGACAGTGGCTGGTGTGCAGCCCTGCTCCCCTCCTTCTCCGCTTCCCACCTGGCCCTTCTCCCTTCACCAGGAACTGGTGACTGCTAATGTCTCAGGCTTAGATATGCCCTCTGGTGTCCCCCGAGACCCTGGCCTGGGCCTGTGGCTCATCTGCCCTCCCCAACACCATAGGTCAGCAACATCAATCAGCCCCTGGAGATCACAGCCATCTCATCCCCTGAGAGCTCCCTGAAGAGTTCCCCCACCCCCTACCAGGACCACGATCAGCCCCCAGTGCTCAGGAAGGAGCGGCCCCTGGGCCCGACCAATGGAGCTCATTACTCACCGCTGACCTCAGATGAGGAGCCAGGCTCTGAGGATGAGCCCAGCAGTGCCCGGTGAGTCCTGGGGGGCAGCTCTGCGGGGTGATGGGTGGACCAGGCGCTGGCTGTTGTGTGGCCAGGTGACCTCTTCAGCCAGCTTTCCCATCCTGAGCTCCCTGTTCCGGACTGCGTTCTCACTGGGCCTTGTCTTTGCTTTCCTCGGGGAGTGGGATGGAGCCCCACACGTGGGGTCTTTGTGTCTGGGGTTCTTCTGGATGTTGTGCCTGTGTGAGCATCACACAGCCCTCCCCACCCCTGCATTGTGGCCGCACTGCAGATGGGCACCCATCGCTGAGGTCCCATCTGCCTCCCTGTGACACCTTGCCTCTGATGTGACATGGTCTAAGATTGCTGCCCAGGGTCCTCCTAGGGATCTGACAGATAGACTTCCCCGTTCCAGACCGTCACAGATTGCCGCCTTGAGCTCGGGTTGGGCAAGGCTCGGGACAGGGACGCTCCTACAGGTTGTCCTGCTTGATGTTCACAGTTGTCACCATGGACTGGGGTCCCCACAGGAACAGCCATGCCCAGCACTGGGTCCTGGTGCTGCTGGTGACCCAGACTTACTCTGGTCTGTTTGGGAGGCCTTCCATGTAGGGCGCGAGGACAGCCTTTGGACCCTCCGTTTCCTGAGGTGTGCGTGTTAGGAGTTCTGGGGTTCTCTCTGAGCACTTATATTCATACATCAACAACCGTTTTCTTTGCACAGAATTGAAAGAAAAATTGCAACAATCTCCTTAGAAAGCAAATCTCCCCCGAAGACGCTGGAAAATGGTAATGTGCTCCCTTCCTGGAGCGTAGAGGTGTGGGGGAGGGGGCCCTGTGCTCAGGCCAGGCCAGCCTGGGACTGCATCTGGTGCATGGTCAGTTGGAAGGGGAGGACAAGAGAAGCCTCCCAGTGCATGAGCTCCGTAGACCCCTCACCCCTCCGGCCCCTCTGCCTGGTAGCGTGTGTGTCGACCCCATGGGAGGGAGGCACAGCCCTCCTCCCCACTGCAGGAAACAGCAGGCCCCAGGCTCAGCTCATGGCCACTGGCATCTCCCATCAGGTGGTGGCTTGGTGGGAAGGAAGTCTGCCTCCTCGAGCGAGCCTGTGAACAGCAGCAAGTGGAAGTCCACCTTCTCGCCCATCTCCGACCTCAGCCTGGCCAAGGCCGTGGACAGTCCGCTGCAGGCTGCCTCTGCGCTCAGCCACAGCCACAGCCCCCTGTTCTCTTTCCGGCCAGCTCTGGAGGAGCCCGCTGCTGAGGCCAAGCTCCCCAGCCACCCGAGGAAGGCCTTCGCCGGCTCCCTGGCCGCGCCCGAGGGCCCCAGCCCCGGCGCCAACCCTCCCAACGGCCTGGCCTTCAGCGGCGGCCTCGCTGGCGACCTCGGTTTACACAGTTTCAACGACGGTGCTCCCCTCTCCCACAAGGGCCCTGAGGTGGCCGGCCTGAGCGCCCCCCTGAGCTTCCCATCCCAGCGGGGCAAGGACAGCACCACGGAGGCCAACCCCTTCCTCAGCAGGCGGCAGCCGGAGGGCCTGAGTGGCCTGAAGGGCGAGGGCAGTGCAGGCAAGGAGTCGGGCGAGGCCCTGCCCCTGTGCGGGCCCGCGGACAAGGTGGCCCTGCCTCATGGCGGCAGGGCCAGCAAGGGCCGCGACCGTGAGCTGGACTTCAAGGGCGGCCACAACCTCTTCATCTCTGCCGCCGCCGTGCCTCCAGGCGGCCTCCTCGGTGGCCCTGGCCTCGTAACTGTGGCTTCCTCGGCGGGCAGTGCGACACCTGCTGCCCAGGCTCCCCGGCCCTTCCTGAGCACCTTCCCCCCGGGGCCTCAGTTCACGCTGGGCCCCATGTCCCTGCAGGCCAACCTGGGCTCTGTGGCCGGCTCCTCCGTGCTGCAGTCCTTGTTCAGCACCGTGCCGGCGGCCGCCGCAGGCCTGGTGCACGTGTCGTCCACTGCGACCCGACTGACCAACTCGCACACCATGGGCAGCTTCTCCTCCGGGGTGGCCGGCGGAACCGTTGGAGGTAGGCGGGGAAGGGAGGACCGCGGAGGTCGGAGCCCCAGGCCCAGGAGCTCGGTCCCTCACCAGCCGTTTCGGAGGTTCCTCCCAGGCCCTCTAGAGGGCGCGAGGGGAGTGTGGCCCTGCGTCCACGCTGGCGTCATCACGGTGTGACTGGAGGAGACCGGCTAGTCTTGTAACGCGTGCCTCTTGTTTTCAGAAGACCACGGTGCACTTAACTAGGCCTTTCTTTCTTCTGGGGCGTCCCCTGTTTGAGGTCACCGCCCCCACGCCTCCTGGCGGGTCTGTGGAAGCGGGCCCGGTGCGAGAATGCGTCCAGGAGGGCCTGCGCACACGGGCCGTGCGTGCGTGCGTGCGTGCGTGCGGAGTCTGGGCCGCCGCGGCCGGGCGGCCAGGCCTGGTGCAGCCCCGGCTGGGCAGGGGCGGGCAGGTGGGCCCGAGGGGCGGGGCCTCGGCCCGCAGGTAAGTGTCCCGCACTAGCCCGCTGCTTCTGCTTGTGCCTGCGCTTGGACCGGAGTCACGCTGCTCTGCTTCTCCTGCCGGCGGGCGGCTCCGCTGCTCCTGCTCCGCCTGCCCGGCCCGAGCTGCCTGTTGAAGCTGCTTTTTCTCTCCTGTTTGCAGGTGTCTTTACCCACGCGGTGCCTTCTGCCTCTGCTCACCCGTTTGGAGCTGGTGTCGGCAGCGGGGCTGTGTGTAGCAGCGCCACGCTGGGCCTGAGCCCGCTGCAGGCGGCGGCCAGCACCTCGGCTTCTTCCTTTCAGGCCGCGGCTTCGGTCGAGACTCGGCCGCCCCCTCCCCCTCCCCTCCTTCCTCCTCAGCACCTGGGCAGGCCCCCTGCGGGGCCGCCTGTCCTCCACGCACCCCCCCCTCCTAACGTCGCCTTGCCTCCTCCTCCTGCGCTGCTGGCTTCTAACTCGGAGCCGGTGCTTCTGCAGGGCCTGGCCTCCCTCCCGGCTAACAAAGCTTTCTTACCCCCCTCCTCTGCCGCCTCTCTGCAGCCTGCTAACGCCTCTCTGTCTGTCAAGCTCGCCTCCCTCCCACACAAGGTCTCCCGCCCCTCCTTCACGGTGCACCACCAGCCCCTGCCCCGGCTGGCCCTGGCGCAGGCTGCGCCCGCCGCCCCGCAGGCCAGCTCCTCGGGGCCGTCGGCTGTGTGGGTTTCCCTTGGCATGCCGCCTCCTTATGCCGCGCACCTTTCGGGGGTTAAGCCTCGATAAAGACCTTGCTTAGCTAGCAGTTCATGTTCTGTAAGGTAAGGCTAGAGCCAAACCACCCTCCTCTTGCCCGGAAGACGGCTGGCAGGGCCCAGCAGATGTCCGGGGTCCTGAGTGGTGGAGATGGGGGGCTAAGGGAGGCAGGGCCACCATTGTGCAGGACTGCCGGGTCCTCAGCCGGCAGCTGAGAGGACATCTGAGGTGATGAGGTTCAAGGGTGGCGCACCAAAGCCAAGGTCGCCCCAGCAGTCCATGATTTTGGGGTCACATTTTTAGTTCTAAACTGAGGCCTCCGCCACCAGCCTACCTGTGCAAGGGGAACAAGGGGTTGTCAGTGGCCGAGGTTGCAGGCCCTGTCCCCAGGCAGAAAGCTGCCTGTGGTCACAGGGGCATCCTGGAGCACAGAGTTGGGGCTTAAGGTTCAGGGAGCAGGTCCTGCCCACCTCTGCCTGAACAGCAGCTGTCAAACCCCGCCCGGTGGTCATCGTGGTAGACATGCCCTGGGAGTAAAGAGCCAGGTGGCAGCCCTCTGGCCTTCTCCATAGGGTGTGGCCCTGCGGTGGCAGGAGCCTGGGCACAGGACAGGCTGGCCAACTTCATCTGGTGGGCCTAGGGCTAGAGCCTCTCCAGCTGACCCGTCCTGTGTGCTCAGCAACGCTGGAGAGGGTTGGGTCCAACAGTACCTACCAGGGGCACCCTCTGCCCTGTGTCCTGTGGGGCAGCTCAGCCACGGTGGGCGTGTTGAGTGTCCCTAACCCTGGGCCTGTGCCTCCTCCCTGCAGGTAACTAGGACTTCTACCTCAGCCACGACCTATGCAAGGACGGGGTGGACCAAGCCTGCTGCCTACCAGGCCGGCGGAGCCGGACGTGGAGCCACTGTGAATCGGCGGCGGCACCGCAGGAGGTGCTGGACTGGTCCAGTTTGTACTGTCGATAGTTTTAGATAAAGTATTTATCGTTTTTTTTTTAAAGAGTATAAGCAATTCTGACTTATTTTATTCCATCAAAGTCGTCCAAGGCAACCTCTTGAGACGTCTAAGTGTCTGTGAGAGAGAATCATATAGACGTGGCCTGCCGGGCTGGCCACCCGAGGACTCCCGACTCCGTCCTGGTGCTATTTCACCACCGAGCCCATGCCTGCCCATCTCCAACTCCGCCCCGGGTGCTGCCCCACATGTGGACCGTGGCTGAACAGTTCCGACGCGCCCCCACAGCTTGACTGATACCAAAGGCACGCCAGGCATGCCCGGTGGGGGCCGACCTCCGGTCCCTCCTTGGAGCTCGCCCGCTGTCACTGTGAACCACCCGCGGTTAACCCTGTGGCTTCAGGCATGCAGACGGACTGGGCTGAGTGGTGCTGGCAGGTGTGGGCCGCTACTGCAGGGCTCGGTGGCTCCTGTGACAAGTGCATTTACTTTGTATTTCTTTGCTTTTCTGGCTCGGGGCATGCTGGCCAGGTGACATGGGGCTGGCCCACTGTGGGTCCCCTGGCATCTGTGTATAAGAGAGTCACGTGATGAGTGACAGTATTTTATAGAGATGTGATGGAGATTTATAAATTTCATAGACTTGACTGCATTTATTTTTAGATTGTATAATGCACAGTGAACTTTAAAGGAAAGAAAAGTGAGGAGAAAAATACTTTTATTTATTCAAATGCACAAAAAATGGCACTGGCCAGGGGCCCTGCAGGAGTGTGGCCCAGATGTGCTGGGCCACCCGGGGCCCCGGTCACTGTGGACACCGTCTGCCTGTGTCCAGGGGTTGCCTCCTGGTCCCGGGGACAGGTGCACTGGGTGTGGCTTTGAAGGGCCAGGGCTGGTTTGGCTTGCTGAGGCTGTCCTGACTGCCCTCAATGCTGCTCACTTCAGGTTGGGGGGAGGTGGGCTGAGGGGGGAGCCATGTTGACCCCCTCCGCCTGTCCTGCCTCCCATGGCAGTTGTGAAGATGGTGCTGGTGTCCCTCCCCCCCACCCCCCACCCCGTGATGGTGCTTGTGCTCGCCAGGCCTGTTCCTGTGCGCCACAGCTAGCCACGGTGCTGCGGGACAGGGTGGCCATAACGTTAGCAAGGCCCAGGCCTGGAACAAGACACGGAGTGAACACGCGTGCACACCGCCTGCCACCCTGGCAGCTGCTGCTCCAGTGGTCGCTGCTTCCACCTTACTTGAGTGTTAGGGGACAGACACTGCATGTTCGTGGCCCGCACGGCCCAGTGGGCCACAGGTGCTCTGGGCGGGCACAGCTGCAAGTCCTTTCCTGAGCCCACAAGAAGGGGAACCCTTAGTAAACTGACCATGGTGCATGGTGGCCCCAGGTTCCCAAGCTCATGGTCCTAGCGTGGGGTGAGGCTGCCTCACGAGTCCCTGCCACTCCAGCCCAAGGCTGCTGCGGGGCTTGAGCTCAGGAACTGATAGGAAGCCCTGCCTGGGACCCACTCCCACGCTAGCCCACATGGGGACCCCGCCGCCGGACACACCTCCCAGTTCCCACCCTCGACCTCCACGGCTTTTTCGGCAGCCTGGCCTGTTGTGACTTGATGCAGCTTTGCTCTGTCTTGTAACGACCTCTGTCCTTAACGGTGCACTGTCCTCTCCCTTGGTTCCCCAAGGCATCTCCCATGTTGTTGCCGCCTCTAGACACAGTAATAAACAGCTGTTTTCACTTGAGCCGGGTCTCAGTCTGGTCTGTCTTGTGTGCTTGCTCTCATCTGACCTGGAGAAGCAGCAGCCCCCTTGAGTGTGGTTCGGGAGGAGCCCAAGGAAGACCCAGCCAGTGAGTGGATGCTCTCCTACACTGTTTACATTGCGCACAGCCCATGAGGTATGCGTCTCTTACCCAGGGCCGCCTAGGACTCCCAATTGCATGTGCACCCACAAAACCCAGGCAGGGTTCCACATTTGCCCAGTGGGGGTATCCATCCAGGTTGGGCACGCTGGGAGCAGAGCCTGTCTCTGTGTGTGTGTGTGTGTGTGTCCAGCCCAGCCATTTTTTTGGTTTTTCAAGACAGGGTTCTCTGTGCAGCCCTGGCTGTCCTGGATCTCACTCTGTAGACCAGGCTGGCCTTGAACTCACAGAGATCCCCTGCCTCTGTCTCCCAAGTGCTGGGATCAAAGGTGTGCACCACCACGGCCCCGCCCATAAGCCCAGCAGCTGACCTTGAGAAGGGCAGCTCTGCCCCCGCTCCCCTGCTCCCCACGTCACTTCACTGGCTTGGAAAAGAGGTACCTTTATTAAAGGGCAGGCTCAGCACTGAAGGCCAGCACCGTGGCCTGCTCCGTCAGCAGGAACGCGTTCACAGCTTTACCTAGCATTATACATTCACCTGGTAATGGACAGGGAAGCCGGGCCAGGCTCAGTCCCTGGGTGGGGGCACTCAAGGATACGGGCAGGGAGATGGCACGGGAGCAGGGACCACAGCCCCTGCCACCTCCTCTGACCTCTGGCTATGAACAGATGTTTTTAAAAAACACCTCCCGAGATAGCCAGGGGCCTGGTGAAGGTCAGTCCCACACATCGAGCTGGGAGCCAATGCAAGCAGTCCGTCCGTCTCCAGGCAAGCTATTCAGCTGGAATCTGGCCTCCTCGGAGATCCCGAACTGCTCCAAGGGGTCCTGCAGGGTGCACAGTGGCTGTGAGCAGGGCCAGGGAAGGCGGCCGTGCCCCCCCACCCCCACCCTACACACCTTGCCTGTTATCTTCCTGATCTCGTTCCTGTAGAAGATGAGGCTCCGTCGCATGTACTCGTAGCTGGAGGAAAGGGCCAGGCTCACTGATGACATTCCCCCATGTTTCCACCCAGCTCCCAGCGGTCCCCAAAGCCCTACCTGGCCCGGCGAAGAGCCTCCATCCACTCCTGACACTGTTCTTGGCTACAGCATTCGAAGTGATACTTCCTGCTGAGGTCTTCCACAAAGCCTGGAAAGGGTTAAAAGAAGAGAGCCACCTCTGGTGGGTGTCCACCTGGTCCACATCCTGCTGGCCACAAGGCCGGCCCAGCTTCCTCTCGCCATGGCTTGGATCCTCCAGAGTCCTGACTCCTGAACCCACAAACAGGGAACCCAGTGGGAAGTCGGGTAATCGCATATGTGAGGTCATTAGGGTAAACCCTAAATTGAATGGAAATAGGACTGGGGAGAGAGCTCGGCTGGTAAAGTGCCTGTCACACCTAAGCATGAGGACCTGAGTTCAAGGCCCAGCACCCACGTCAAAGAGCAGGATGCAATCTCCGTGCTGAGGAAACAGATGGGAGGATTCCCAGGGCTTGGTGGCCTGCTAGTCTAGCCTAAAAAGAAGTCCCAAGTGGGACTGGTGAGATGGCCAAGCCTGATGACCAGAGTTGAATGTTGGGGACCCACATACTGGAAGATGAGAACCAACTACCTTAGTGGCATGCTCACTCACACAAATAAATGTTTGTGTACACACAAATAAATTGTTTTAAAGGTGTGGGGGGCGGGTCAGGACATCAGAAAATTACTTCTGGCCTCCATGTACACGTGCAAAAAAGCAGAAAATAGGGGTACAGAAGAACCCCGTGTGATGATGGAGGAAGACAAGGGCCAAATCTCTACGAGACGGTACTGTAAAGATCGCCGCCAATGGGGAAGTCTGAGACAGGTGTCACTTCAAAGCCTCAGAAGCCCTGCCCGCGGCTGAGACTGTTTCTGCTATACACACCAAGTCTGCGCAGGCCGGACCCATGCCTGCCGTGAACAGGTACTGAGGGCTGGGGAAGAAACTATGACCGCACCAGCGGGATCCAGAACGAACGGAGGCCCCTGGGGAGTAAAGGGGCGACAGGACAGGTGCGCTCGCGGAGCAGAGTCTGGGCTGGGGACAGTGGGGACCACAGCACTTACTGATGGAGAAGCCGCCGGGCTCTTCCTGGGCCACTCTGCAGCGCTCCAGCAACAGGGCTCCGAGGGGCTGCGCGAGACACGGCCGTGAGCGCCGGCCTCCGGGCCGCGCGGGCCCCCCGAGCCCCCCACGCCCCTACCTCGGCCTCGTCCGGGCGGAAGTAGAAGAGGAAGTTGACCACCAGCTTCACCAGCCGCCGCTTGGCCACTGCGGACACAGGGCGGTGTCAGCGCGGAACTGTCCTCCTCCGCCCACCCGGGAATCGCGCCGGCCTGCCCAGGTGCCCCAGCTCCAAGGCCCCGACCCGCTCACCGCTGCCCTTCTTGGGGCCCCGCATGCCCAGCTCGGCCGCCATCTCTGCCGGCTGACGGGACAGCGCCTGCAACTCTTTCTCGTTGTACCGCATCACGACGCGGGGATCCGCGCGAACCAAAACGCGCCCTGCCTCTCGGCCGCCGTCCTCTGCGAAGCCGCAACCAGCGCCAAAAATGTCGCAGAGAACATTACCGGAAGTCCCAGCAGGGCTACTGCGCCTGCGCGTTCGGGCCTCCTTGGCCACGGCGTGGCGCTAGCGTGCGGGTTGGCGTCGTTCCACGCCCAGTCGGAAGTGGGGGAAGTCGCCGCCCTTAGGTAACCGTCGAACACACTAAACGTAAGGCATTAAATTAGACTCATCGCACCCCGCGTTAAACATAAAGACTCCCTCCTGTCGCGATAGTCAGCGCCGCGAGACTTAGAGCGGAACGAGAGTCCGCGGACAGCTCAGTGCGCGTGCGCACTCCAGACTCCCTGTGCCGCGCGCCTCTGGCAGCCGCGTCCGTCTTCCGAGCTTGCGCGCACAGGAAACCCCGCCTCCTTGGCTCCAGGAAGTGATTGCTTCGTCCGTCGTGCGCCTGCGCACAGCGAAGTCGCGGCCATCGCGGACACTAGGGCCGGACCGCGCGGCCTTGGGAGCCGGTGAGGAGCTACGCGGCTCGTCGGTGGCGCCCGCCCCGGCCGTGGGGCCCCTGGAAGGGGGTCGGAAGTGGGAGCCGGGGCGGGCGGGCGGGCGGCGTGCTCTCCTCCCGCAGGCCCGGCGCGCGCCCGGAGAGCGCGCCCTCGCGAGGCCCGTTGGGCCGGGGCGGGATCGTGGGTGTCCGTGGCGGGTCTGTGGCCCCCGGTGTGGTTCGGGGTCTTAGAGAGTCTCTTGACCTCCTTGGTTGCCTCGGTTTCCCTCGTCTTCGTTAGTCAGGGCCCCGGCGACTGCTTCTCCTGCCCGCCGAGTCGGTCAGTTGCTGGAATGTAACGGTGCTTGCGCGCAGGGCTGCCCCCGCGGCGCGCAGGGCTGCCCCCGTGGAGCGCAGGGCTGCCCCCGTGGAGCGCAGGGCTGCCCCCGTGGAGCGGAGCGCAGGGCTGCCCCCGTGGAGCGGAGCGCAGGGCTGCCCCCGTGGAGCGGAGCGCAGGGCTGCCCCCGTGGAGCGGAGCGCAGGGCTGCCCCCGTGGAGCGGAGCGCACGGCTGCCCCCGCGGCCAGGCCCCTCCCAGGCCGCCGCCTTCACCAGGACCACTTTCCTTTCTTCCGGTCTGTTCGTCCTCCCGTCCCAAGCCTCGCTTGGAGCCCAGCCTGTCCTCGGCAGGACTTTAAATTATTTCAGACGTGGTCACAATCTGGCTGGCCTGAAACGCGTGTGTGATGCCTGTGCCTCCCGAGCACTGGGATTTACAGCGTGCGCCACCGCACCTGGCTGTCCACTCTGGCGGGACAGAGGTGTTGTCCCCAGGAGTTCGAAGCCGCTGTAGTCAGGAAGCAGAAGGATAATTGCTGGTGTTCACATTGCTTTCCCCGTGTTTCTTTTTCTTTATGTGTGTGTGTCTGTGCGTGTGAGTATGGTACCCACCGAGTGCAGAAGAGAAGGGTGCCTGCCATGTCCCCTGGAGCTGGAGTTTCGGTGTTTCGTCAGCCACCCGGTTTGGGTGCTAGAAACTGAACTCTGGTCTTCTGCAAGGGCACCAAATGCTGTTCGCCACAGAGCCTTCTCGCCAGCCTACCCAGCGCTTTTCTCTCTCTGTCTCTTTGAGACAGGGTTTCTCTGTATAGCGTTGAGCCTTTCCTGGAACTCAAGTCTGTAGCCCAGGTTGACCTCGAACTCACAGAGATCCACCAGCGTCCGCCTCCCGAGCACTGTGATTAAAGGCGTGCAGCACCACCACCCAGGCCTTTTATCCCTTTTTTAAAGACAGGATCTCACTGTGTAGCCCAGTCTGGCCTTCAACTCGGGCATCTTCCTATCTTGGCCTCCCAAGACGAGAGCTGGTGTGAAAGGTCTACACTGCATGCCCCACAATTACTTGTGTTTTCTGAGGTTGAAAACTTCATGGGCTGAGAAGGTAGCTCAGTGGTGAGATTTATAATACTCTGTGCTACTCCCTCAGAATCAAGGAGTGTGCTTACCCAGGCTGTTTTTTTCTTGTTATTGTTGTTTTTCCCTCCAAACTGATGAGTTGCATTTTTCCTTTAGTGGATACATAACACGCACGCACACCTGCACCTCAGGTAAGACAGTTGCTAAAGGATTTTAAAACACCCGGAGCCAGGTGAGGTGAGGTTGGCTGCGGCTTCTCCTGTTTCTCTGATCTCTCAGTTTTAAACCCCAATATCTGGCTCTGGGTTTTTTATTTATAAGACCGTTTAGCAGGGGCTGGAGAGATGGCTCAGCGATTAAGAGCACTGGCTGCTCTTCCAGAGGTCCTGAGTTCGATTCCCAGCACCCACTTAGTGGCTCTCAACCATCCGTAATGGAATCTGATTCCCCCTTCTGGCCTGCAGGAGTACACGGAGGCAGAACACTGTGTACATAATAAATAAATCTTGCCGGGCGGTGGTGGTACACACCTTTAATCCCAGCCCTCAGGAGGCAGAGCCAGGTGGATCTCTGTGAGTTTGAGGCCAGCCTGGTCTACAGAGTGAGTTCCAGGACAAGCACCAAAACTACACAAAGAAACCCTGTCTCGAAAAACCAAAAAAAAAAAAAAAAAAAAAAAAAAGTCGTTTAGCAAACATCTAAGCACTCTAGGGTACTAGACAAGTGCTCCACCCCTGAGTTGCACCCTCAAGCCTGTGGCTGAATACCCTGTCCCCTTGGGAAGGATGGCCAGAGTCTCATGGTTGTGTTTTTTGTTGTTTTTGTTTTGTTTTGTTTTGTTTTTCGAGACAGGGTTTCTCTGTGTAGTTTTAGAGCCTGTCTTGGATCTCACTCTGTAGCCCAGGCTGGCCTCGAACTCACAGAGATCCGCCTGCCTCTGCCTCCCGAGGGCTGGGACTGAAGCGAGCACCATTGCTGCCTGGCGTGTCTCATGTTCTTGGGAGTTGTCTTTGCCAGAGGGCAGAGGAGTTTTCCAACCTGTCACTGCTCTAAGTGCCCTCTTATTCTGGGGAGCTGACTTCATCTATGCGAGTGTGTCTCCTGTAGCTTTTGAAGATGAAGACAATGCTTCTCTCCTTCAGTCCTTGTGTGACTGAGTCTGAAACAGACCCACAGCAGTACACAGCCTCAGCAATGCCAGCATGATAGAGACCTCTGTACCCCTTCTGGCCCCTTCCTCCTTCAGAGCTGACAGGCAGCGATCTCACAGTGCCTGTCTTGAGCCCTCCTGCCTCCCTCTTAGGCGGACTCTGTGCTGACGTCGTAGAGAATTAGGATTCCTGATCAGGTTTGCAAAGCCCCTTTTGCTGTGTGAGATCCCAGTGGTGATGACAAGAACTCCCTCCACTTGTCTCTTGGCCATTGTTTCTGGGGTTAAACCAAGGCCTTGGGGCAGACACTGAGCAGTCTAAAGTGCTCCACCTTCAGAGAGCATGGCCTGGTGGCTTTGGCTGAGCCCAAAAGGTGCGACCCTTGGCACAGAGCACTCTGCAGCTCTGTAGACAGCAAGTTTGACAGAGGGCAGAGGTGGCTCACACCTGCAATCACTTGGGAGGGTCAGGGGTTCAAAGGCAGGCAGCTTTCCCCCAGTCCCCCACCCCGCGATGAAGGGAGTTCAAGGCCAACACAGGCTACATGAGACTCCTACCTGTCCCCTACCCGCCTCATAATAACACCAAAGGCTGGGCAGTGGTGGCGCACATCTTTAATCCCAGCACTCGGAGGCAGAGGCAGGCAGATCTCTGCGTTCAAGGCCAGCCTGGTCTACAGAGTGAGATCCAGGAAAGGCGCAAAGCTACACAGAGAAACCCTGTCTTGAGAAACAAACAAAAAAGAATACCAAAGAAACAGATACAATGGCACACTTCTGAAATTCCAGTGCTTGGGGGGATCAGGTGTTAAAAAGCTATCCTCAGCTACATAATGAGTTTACGGCCAGCCTGGGCTACATGAGACTTGAAGAAATAAACAATCCTAGGGTCTCAGGCTGGCTGGGTAAAAACTGGGCTGTTGGCTGTTCCTGCACCTGGCCCACAATGGCCTTGGGGATTATGTAGAATCCAGTATGGGGCACAGAAGACAAGGGATGGTCCTCCCTGCCGCGTGAATGTCTCTCCACCCCATGGTCCTGGCAACATCAGCAGTGTTCTGAGCCTTTACCCTTCCTGCTCCCCCAGGTTACTCCTTGTCCCCTGAAGCTCCCAGGCCTGCACCATGGACTTCCAGCACAGACCTGGAGGCAAGACCGGGAGTGGGGGCGTGGCCTCCTCCTCCGAGAGCAATCGGGACCGCAGGGAACGCCTGAGGCAGCTGGCCCTGGAAACCATCGACATCAACAAGGTGGGGGGCTGCCCGCTGTGGGGGTGTGGAGGGGACAGTGTCTCCACACTCACAGAAGCCCCTGCTGCGCCTCTGTCCCTGGTTCTCGGGCGGGGCTGTGTGGTCTAATGGGCCCCTGTGTTCCCTCCCAGGACCCGTATTTTATGAAGAACCATCTGGGATCCTATGAGTGCAAGCTCTGCCTGACGCTGCATAACAATGAGGTGCGTGCGGGCCCTGACCCCAGCTGTGCAGGCTTGTGGCTTTACACTGATGACATGACATTGGTGGCCCTTGGACCTGTCACCCAGAGCCAAGGGCTCCCTCCGTGTTGGTCTGGTTTGGTTGGATCTTTTTTTTCTCAGCTATGCTGGGTAAGCAGCCACTGAACTGAACTATATCCCCATCCAGTTCTTGAGGCAGAGTCTTGTCGGTGAACTCCTGACCCTCCTGCCTCTGCCTCTGCCTGGCCCTCTGGCCCTACACCGAAGGTGTCCTGGAGACCAGCGACCCTTTTCCCCTTTTTCTTTCTCTGGCCTTGGTGTCGAGATAGGAGCCAGCATGTTTGATCTGTGAATGTCTGCATGCCAACCAGCAGCAGGGCTGCTTCTGTATCCCATCAGGGAGGGGTGTAGCTATGGTTCTGGAGAGAGGACGCTGGGGTCTGTTGGTGCCTTCCCACCTCTCACTGGATGACCAGACCAATCAGCAGGGAGTGGGACGTGTCTGGCCTTATGGACAATGGAGTCAGGTGGACACAACTGGACAGAGCCCGAGCAGTAGCCTAGGCCTCCACCCCCTGTTGGGAGCTCCCCGGGCTTCTGCCAGACCCCTGTGGTGGGGTCAGCGCTGAAGACCTCTGTGGATGCTGGTCCTGAGCCCAGAGGAAGTCCCAGAGTGGCCGCTGTGCGTCCCCTGCAGGCTCCAGGCTCCGAGGAGCTCCAGGCTCTGGGCCTCCTGTCGGGGCTGGACGCCATTAGAGCTGTCCTGCCTCTCTGCCTCCCACCTCCAGTGACCATCTCCTTTCTCTCTGCAGGGGAGCTACCTGGCCCACACGCAAGGGAAGAAACACCAGACGAACTTGTGAGGAGCCCTCACTTGGTGTGGCGGGGTGGAGCGGGGAAGGGCCCTGCACTTAGGTGCTCTGCCGCTGTGTGTGTTTCAGCCCGACTGTCCGCTGCAGAGCTGACGGCTAAGGAGCGGGACAGCGGGGTGACTGGGGCGCCTTGCTGTCCCTGTTTGCTGTCCTCCAGGGCTGAGCCCTCAGCCTGTCCATGGGCTCCAAGGCCAGCGGCTTCTGGCACCTGGGCGCTTGGCCTTGGTGGCTGGTGGAGAGGCCACACACCCGTTTCCTGTTTGTAGGGCCCGGAGAGCTGCCAAGGAGGCCAAGGAAGCCCCTGCCCAGCCAGCACCCGAGAAGGTCAAGGTGGAGGTGAAGAAGTTTGTGAAGATTGGCCGCCCTGGGTACAAAGGTGTGTGGGGGGTGGCGGCCTGCCCACGGTTGTGGGCCCTGGCACAGGAAACAGTCCCTAGGACACACAGCCACTGCTGTCTGTCCTCACAGTAGCCCACAGGTGGCCGATAAGCACCCATCCCCCACTAGGAACTTCAGAAGGAGGAGGGGAGGCAGGTTGTCTGCAGTCAGTGTACCCAGAGCCCCTCAGCAGGGGCCCCTGAGTGACATGGCCTAGCCAGAAAGCCAGGCATGTGGCCAGCAAGAACCCAGGGAGCCAAGTTCCCTGGAGTCCCCCTGGCAGGCAGGCTGTCCCTGCTGTCCTGCCACAGTGCTGGGCTGGGGTGCCCTCGGTCAGACCCAGGCCTTGTATCGGGGACCCATGACCCATGACAGCCCCGTCCCCGTGTGTTGCAGTGACCAAGCAGAGGGACACGGAGATGGGCCAGCAGAGCCTGCTGTTCCAAGTGAGGAGGGCCGGTGCAGGGTGGGCTGGTGCGGGGAGGGCCGGTGCGGCTGGACCGGGCACACGGTGTCGGTGCTAATGCCGCTGTGCGCTCGCCACAGATTGACTACCCTGAGATCGCAGAGGGCATCATGCCTCGCCACCGCTTCATGTCTGCCTATGAGCAGAGGATCGAGCCCCCGGACCGCCGCTGGCAGTACCTGCTCATGGCAGCAGAGCCCTACGAGACCATTGCCTTCAAGGTAGTGCCCCTGATTCAGGTCTGTCTGTCTGTCTGGTCCCCACCCTGGGGTGCTGCAGCCTCTGCTTCCCTCTCTCCCCCAGGTACCGAGCCGGGAGATCGACAAGGCGGAGGGCAAGTTCTGGACCCACTGGAACCGAGAGACCAAGCAGGTGAGAGGCCAGAGGCCTGGCCTGGGTACTCCCCCCCTCCCCCCTCCCCCCCCACCCGCTCCAGTCACTGACCCTCCTCCCCCCACAGTTTTTCCTTCAGTTCCACTTTAAGATGGAGAAGCCCCCTGCCCCACCCAGCCTCCCAGCCGGCCCCCCAGGCGTCAAGCGGCCCCCGCCCCCTCTCATGAATGGCCTGCCTCCTCGCCCGCCACTGCCGGATGCCTTGCCCCCACCTCCGCCTGGTGGCCTGCCTCTGCCCCCTATGCCCCCGACCGGGCCTGCTCCCTCTGGACCTCCTGGACCTCCCCAGATGCCTCCGCCAGCTCCTGGGGTCCACCCCCCAGCACCAGTGGTCCACCCACCGACATCTGGGGTCCATCCCCCAGCTCCTGGGGTCCATCCCCCAGCACCAGTGGTCCACCCACCAACATCTGGGGTCCATCCCCCAGCTCCTGGGGTGCACCCGCCAGCCCCTGGTGTTCACCCAGCGGCCCCTGGTGTTCACCCAGCGGCCCCTGGTGTTCACCCAGCAGCCCCTGGAGTGCACCCGCCAGCCCCTGGAGTGCACCCACCAGCCCCTGGGGTCCACCCTCCCCCATCAGCTGGAGTGCATCCTCAAGCTCCAGGAGTACACCCACCTGCTCCTGCAGTCCACCCTCAGGCCCCTGGGGTACACCCCCCAGCCCCTGGTATCCACCCTCAGGCCCCTGGGGTGCACCCCCAGCCTCCTCCTGGGGTCCACCCTGCTGCCTCTGTGGTCCACCCTCAGCCTCCGGGGGTTCACCCCTCAAATCCTGGGGTGCACCCAGCTCCTATGCCCCCCATGCTAAGGCCCCCACTCCCCTCAGATGGCCCTGGGAACATGCCTCCCCCTCCCCCAGGCAACTGAGCAGTGGCCCCTGCTGCCAGTGTGTGGCCTTTTCCCATGGCCAGTCCTTGGAAGGTTTTCTATTTTGTCCTGTCCCCAGCCCATTAAACAGCCTCCCCCGCGTCTCCCTGTCTGCTGTGTGCTTTTGGTGGAGGGGACGGGCGGGTACTGCATGCCTTCACTGAAGGCATGGTGACCCCGGGTCCTGGGTCCTCCAGGTGGGCTCCCTAGGCAGATGGGAACTACCCAAGGACAGCTCTGGCTTCTGCAGCTGTGGGCCTGCCTCCGAGGACAGAAAGCCCTTTGAGAAGGCCACCTCCCACCTGCTGGGCACACAGGGTGCCATGCACTGTCCCCCAAGGTCACCTCCGGAGTTGATAGGGGTGTCCTCCCAAGCACGCTGGCTCAGCCATACATATAGGCAGGGCCTCCCGGCCCTTGGTGCCGCACCATGCAGAGACCACCCCTCTCTCCGCTGGCTCTACTGCTGGTGACCGCGGGGGCTGCGCTACAGGCCAAGACCCTCAGAGAAGAGCTCCAAAGGGCCACCAGCACCGGGGGCCTCATCTTCCTGGAAGATGGGGTCTGGCCTCCGAGCATTCCCCCAGGGCCCCTGTGCCTGGTGACGCTGAGAGGCATGGGCAACACAAGCAGAGCCCCGCTGAGGGTGGTAGGGGGCCTGCACAGCTATGAGCATGCCTTCCTGGAGGCCGTTCGGGAGTCTCACTGGGGACCCCAAGACCTGGCCACCTTCGGAGTCTGCAGTTCTGACGCCCAGGCTACCCTGCCGGTGCTGCAGCGCCTTGGGGCCTGGCTGGGGGAGCCTGGGGGTCAGCAGGTGCTGGTCCTACGTCTGGACGAAGGTACGTGAGTGAGGACACTCTTCAGACCCTGTGCCTTGGGCCTGTTACTGCCTGAGGCTCCTCCCAAGGTCTCGGCGGAGGCTGCGGGGAGGTCCCATTGGCAGGATGGCAGAGCACAGCCCCCAGACTCCATCCCAGACGGGCACAGGTCACCCCGTCCCTTCAAGCAAGGTCCTCCCTCAACACCTTGGGTCAGTCCTTCAGGCCTGCATGGCCCCAGGAGACCCCAGTTAGATTCCCGCTGAGGGACTCTAGGACAGGTCCTCACCTCTGTTCGGCCCACAGTGATATGGGAGCCCACGCTCTTGCTGAAGTTCCAAGAGCCTCCACCCGGGGGAGCCAGCCGTTGGGAGCAGGCCCTGCTGGTGCTGTACCCTGGACCCGGCCCCCAGGTCACCGTCACAGGGGCTGGACTGCAGGGCACACAGGTACCTGAGAGTGGAATGGGGCCATCCCCCACCAGCCGTCTGGTGGAAGGGTCCCTGGGGTCGGGAGTACCCCTGGGAGTCCTCTCCCAGTATGGGAGGGGTGGCGCCTGGTACCCTGGGCGTCCTTACCACTCCAGCTGAGTGCCCGTGTCCACAGAACCTCTGCCCTACGCCGGACACCCGCTATTTGGTGCTGGCTGTGGACGTCCCTTCGGGGGCCTGGAGCGGCCCCGGCCTCGCCCTAACCCTCCAGCCACGCCCAGAAGGTAGGCCCGGGCGGAGGGGAGGGACCTGGGAGAGGCTGCCTTAGCCCTTGCTCAGACAGCAGGTGCCCACCTCCGCAGGTGCCGCCCTGAGCATCGGCCGGCTGCAGGCCTTTCTGTTCGGCTCTGACGCTCGCTGTTTCACACGCATGACCCCCACCCTGCTGTTACTGCCCCCTGCCCAGCCGTCGCCGCAGCCAGCGCAGGGCCAGCTGGACACCGTGCCCTTCCCGCCGCCCAGGTGCGCGCAGGGCTGGAGCAGGAGCTGGGAAGATGGGGGAGGGAGGGGGCGCGGCCACAGCCTCTGGTGCTCACGGCTGGCCCACTGCGCTCTATTCCAGGCTGTCCCTGGAACCCGAGGACCTGCCACACAGCGCCGACCCCTTCCTACAGACCCTCACTCGCTTGGTGCGTGCCCTGCGGGGACCCCCGTCGCAGGCCTCGCACACGCGTCTGGCCCTGGACCCTGGGGCGCTGGCCAGCTTCCCACAGGGCCTGGTCAACCTGTCGGACCCCGTGGCGCTGGAACGCCTGCTCGATGGGGAGGAACCCCTGCTACTGCTGCTGTCTCCCACTGCGGCCACGGTGGGGGACCCCGCGCCGCTGCAGGGCCCGGCCTCTGCATCCTGGGCAGCCGGCCTGGCACGCAGGGTGGCCGTGGAGCTGCAGGCTGCGGCCTCAGAGCTGCGGGGCCTCCCGGGCCTGCCCCCCGCTGCGCCACCGCTGCTGGCGCGCCTGCTGGCGCTGTGCCCAAACGACTCCCACAGCCCCGGGGACCCGCTGCGCGCGCTGCTGCTGCTGAAGGCGCTGCAGGGCCTGCGGGCCGAGTGGCGTGGGCGGGAAGGGCTCGGGAGGGCGGCGCGCAGCGCGGGGACAGCGACGGACGGGCCGTGCGCGCTGCGCGAGCTGAGCGTGGATCTGCGCGCAGAGCGCTCCGTGCTCATCCCCGAGACCTACCAGGCCAACAACTGCCAAGGCGCCTGCGCGTGGCCGCAGTCCGACCGCAACCCGCGCTACGGGAACCACGTGGTGCTGCTGCTGAAGATGCAGGCGCGCGGGGCCGCCCTGGGGCGCCTGCCCTGCTGCGTGCCCACGGCCTACGCCGGCAAGCTGCTCATCAGCCTGTCCGAGGAGCGCATCAGCGCGCACCACGTGCCCAACATGGTGGCCACCGAGTGCGGCTGCCGGTGACGCCCGCCTTGCCCCTACTCAGCACCAATAAAGAACAGCAAACACTCAGCTGGGGTGTCTGTGGGTGGAGGGACCTCCTGTCACCCCCCTTCTGGAGTGCAAGGCCTGCGCGCGCGCACACACACACACACACACACACACACCACCCCGTGAGGAAGCTCTCTGTTCCCATCACTTTTCCTTTTTTAAGACAGGGTTCCCTGTGTATCCCGGCTGTCCTGGAACTCACAGAGATCTGCCTGCCTCTCCTCCCCAGAGCTGGCATTAAACTCCCAGACCATGTCGCTTTTCAAATTAGTTAACTAATTTGTGTGTGGGGGTGGGGGTTGAGGCAGGAGAATTGTTTTGAGTCAGCCTGAACTACAGAGTAAAATCCTGTTTCAAAAACCAAAAAAGGAGGTAGAGAAATAGATTAGCAGTAAGGACACTTGCACATCTCAACACACACACACACACACACACACGCTCAAATCTTTTTTAAAGAAACAAAAAACAGGACAGGCGGTGGTGGTGCACGCCTTTAATCCCAGCACTCGGGAGGCAGAGGCAGGTGGATCTCTGTGAGTCTGAGGCCAGCCTGGGCTACAGCGTGAGCTCCAGGAAAGGCGCAAAGCTACACAGAGAAATCCTGTCTCAAAAAACCAAAAAAGAAACAAAAAACAAAACGCCAAGTGTGGTGGCGCACACCTGTCACCCCAGCACTATCTGGAGGTGGAGACAGGAGGATCAGAACTCCAAGCTGTGCTTACGCAGTCGCACAGAACACAGGAGGGCAGAGGACAGCTAACGGGAGTTCGTTCTCTCCCTCCACTGTGTGGGTCCCGGGGTCGAACACGGGTCGTCAGGCTTGGCGGCAAGCGCCTTTACCCACTTGGCCATCTCGCCTACCCCATCCCATCTCTTCGACCCCTGGGGCCCGGGCACAAAGGAGCAGACCACGTGGCTGCTGCAGCACGAGCTTTATTTGCGGGGGCTGCAGGGAGAGGGGACGCGGGGCGGGTCAGTCGCGGCCCTTCCCCCCTCGCGGCTTCTGTCTGGGCCGGTTGTCACGGTCACGGCGTCGCCGGGGAGCCCAGGCCGGCCGCTTCTCATGCCCGAGTTCCCCGGAGTCCCGCGTCCACGGCCGGCGGCCTCCTCCGCGCGCCTCCCGGCGCCGGGACAGGAACGGGCCGGGCTCCCTGGTGGCCCGCCGCCGCTCCTCCCTCCCGGGCTTCTCCCTCCTCGGCTTCTCCTTCTTCAGCTTCTCTCCTGTCCTCGGCTTCTCCTTCCGCGGCCTCTCCTGGGCCCCTCGGTCTCCTAGGGGTGCGCGCTCCTCCCCAGAGGCCTCCGGGGCGGACCCCCCCGGCTCACCCTGGGCTTCTGTGGCCTCAGACGGGTCCTGCTTCTGGGCCCGTGGCCCGGGTGGCTCTGGTGGCCCGGGTGGCTCTGGTGGCCCGGGAGGCCCGGGTGCAGGCCCCGAGAGCTGGGGCTTAGGCTGCGGGAGACAGTGCGGGGTCCTGGGGTCCGCGCCCACCTCCCCGCAGGCCCCTGCTCCCTGGGCGAGGTGGAGTCACGCAGGGCTTACCGCGGGCGCCTCTGGCTTCTGGGGTGGAGGCCTGGGCGGGACCCGCTGCTGAGGGGCAGCCACCGCCACTTCCCCTGCCACCGCGTCTGAAAGTCAGTCAGTCTGGGCTGGAGGACGGAGCGCGCCCTCGCCGTCCTCCCACTCAGCCCCACAACTGCACGCGGGACGGACGAGGCTGCAGCCGTCGACTTCACCTTCCGGGGAGGTGCAGCCCGCTCCTGCCGCTGGCTACCGCAACCTCTTCCTTCCCAGAGACCTCTGTCTCTGTGTGTCTCTCTCTCCTCTGTAGTGTTCATTGTCCGCCCCCCAAAGCTGCATAGAGGTGACTAGCAACTGTGTGTGGTGTGTGTGTGTGTGTGTGTGTGTGTGTGTGTGTGTGTGCGCGTGTGTGTGTGTGTTGTGGGGGGGGATCCTCTGCCCCGGGGTGGGGTGTGTGTGTGTGTGTGTGTGTGTGTGTTGTGGGGGGGGATCCTCTGCCCCGGGGTGGTGTGTGTGTGTGTGTGTGTGTGTGTGTGTGTGTGTGTGTGTGTGTTGTGTGTGGGGGATCCTCTGCCCCGGGGTGGGGTGTGTGTGTGTGTGTGTGTGTGTGTGTGTGTGTGTGTGCGCGTGTGTGTTGTGGGGGGGGATCCTCTGCCCCGGGGTGGGGTGTGTGTGTGTGTGTGTGTTGTGTGTGGGGGATCCTCTGCCCCGGGGTGGGGTGTGTAGGTTTCCTCTCTAACGAAGGAGTGGAAGAACCAGGCTTGGTCTTAGATGCCTGTCATCCTGGCTGGAGAATGCTGAGGCAGGGGACTGCCATGAGACCCAGGCTAGTCTGTG